CAATAAATGCTTTTTTTCAGATTACACACACTTTTTATCATGCAAATTTTATAAGCAAAAGTCAGGATAACCAGTTGCTGTGCAAGTTTTTAAAAAACCTTTTTCAACTGTGTCAATTTTTTTGTGCGAGGAAGTAAAAATGAACTGACAAAAATCTATATATTCGACAATCACAGAAAGTTTTTCGCAAATTCTGGCAACAATTTGTGTACAAATGATAAGAAAACAAAAAATCGCGGAAAATTTTAACAAAAAATCTAAAAAATCTGAAAGAGTGTAAGTAAAATTTAACTGCCTATCATTCTATAATAGGCAATCTAGCTCGCTTTGGTATCCCAAATTTTTGTTTCAGTTCTTTATCAAGCTGATTCATGACACCTTTGTGCGAGGTAAAATACATTGGAGACTCCTTATGAACAAGAGATTGCACCGTTTTCTTACATTTAAAAAGCGTTTTTGAGTTTTTTTTTCAAGAATAGAAAAACTATAAGTAAAAGGGATAAAGCTTTTTTTTCTAAGTAGCTAAAGCATTGGCTGTTTTCAAAATAAAGCTGTTTGTTCTTGGGCTGCACTAATATTTTTTGCCTACTTTTTGAGATGCTTTGATTTTGTTTCGTTGTTATTGAGGGAGTGAAAGTTTTCTTTTTGTCAAAATTCATTTGTTTTCAGTGTTTTTTGATTCCCGTAAATTAATGAGTCATTTGATGCTGAGGTTAAAGCACAAACTAGAGAAAAGTTTAATTATTTTGTTGACCTGAGAATAACTAAGTTTTCTAAAAGCTGTATATGATTGGCCGTGTCGCAAACTTTGTGGGGATAAGAAAATAATTTTGCGTTATTTTTGTAATTATCCCGCTGAAGTGACACTACGGCATCAACCAAATTTTAACAATTTCTGAAGCAAAACTGTGCTTTCTATTGTTTGTTTTGATTCAAAAGAGTTGTATATGATAGACCGTGTTGCAAATTTTATTGGGATTAAGAAAAATATAGTGCGTTATCTTCTTATTTATCCCGCTGAAGTTGGATTGTTCCGATAAGTGTTACTACGGCATCAATCAAACCTGAATAAACTTTGAAGCAAAATTGTGCTTTCTATTGATATTTTTGAATCAAAAAATGTTCTCAACAAAATCATGTAAATTAGTTTATCAAGTATTTTTTGGAAGTAAAGAAATTAATCTGCAATTTTCTGTCGTATCATTATATCTACTTTTATGACAGGTAAATTTTTCTAGAGTATTTCAATAAACTGAAAATCAAGCTTTTCCGAAATTCTTTTTTTATAATAAGTCGTTCAACACCGGGTTTTTTTGTTGATTCTTAAAATCAGGAAAACGTAATTAAAGTACGCAAAAATTTTAGCCATCATTTCAATTGGACTTGTAAACAATGTTCGCATATTTTATCGTCTCTCTTTGGTCACGAGGGTTTTTTCATTTTTTCATCTAGTCTTTCTTTTTTTTGAAAATAATAACTGAACTTTTTGACCTCTCTTTCGTTCTCTTCAATCTTATCATAATTGTTTGTTTTCTTTTTCTAAAATTCTATAAATTGGCTGGGAACAATAAACATTTGATGTTTTACTAGTAAAATTTTGTATAAGAGTAGTTTTAAAAGCATGTTTTAAGGCTAACAAACGAAAAACGATAGTAATGAACATCATTTACAACCATTAAATTATTGCCTAAGAAACACTCATGAGACTTTCTGATCCATTTTCAGTCTTCTCTGAGCAAAAAAAAAACAAAAATTGGTTCCATCACTTCATTATTCAGTTTCTCAACAAAATCTACCGATTCTGAAAAAACGTAAAAAAGTGTAAACCTTTTTACAAAACGAAACATAAAGGAACTACTAAAAATAATCCGTTGAAATGTTCTAATAAACTTTCTGGGGTATATTATGCTCATTAGGTCTTCACTGATCAAAATCAAGTCAGCTTAGAAATGTTGGTTTTTTTTATTGTGTTGTTTCGGAAAATTTGTAAGGCGCATCACAGTTTATTTCATAATAATTATCTCAGCTGAGCGTTTTTTGTATTTAAATGCAGTGATTTTTTGGTTTTGTAAATTGCGCCGCTCGTTAATTTCTTCAATCTACTTCTTTGTTTTGACAGCTTACGTGGGTCCTCGTCACTTTTTACGTCGCTAAATTGTCTACTGGCAAAACTTAGACAATAATTTACTTCCATTTTCAAAAACTCCATGAATGTGAACTTCATTAGACGTGTACAACTTTTTTATGTTTCCCGTGCTAATCTTAATGAGTCACAATACTTCGTGAAAAAAACTCTTTATGAAGCTAATTCATGACACTGACACCTATTTGTGAGGTAAAAGACAACGAAAACTCCTTATGAACAATAGATTGCACCGTTTTCTTACATTTATTAATAGTTTTTTGTATAAAACTTTTTTTGAGTTTTTCCCGAGAATAGAAATGCTCTAAGTAAATACCAAATGATTAAAAACTATTTCTTCTATGTAGCTAAAAGATTGCCTGTTTTCAAAACAAAGCTGATTGTCGTTGCCCTTCAGTAATAGTTTTTGTCTATTTTTCTAGAGGCATTGTTTTTGTTTCGTTGTTATTGAGGGAATTAAAGTTCAGTTTTAGTCCATTTTCAGTTGTTTTCAGTGTTGTTTGATGCTCTGAAGCTAATGAGTCATTTGAAGCTGAAGTTAAAGCACAGCATTGAGAAAAATTTGAGTTATCTTGTTGATCTGAGGATAACTACGTTTTCTAAAAGTTGTATTTGATTGACCGTGTCGCAAACTATTTTGGGGATAAGAAACATATGTTGCGTTACTTTTTTTATGATCCCGCTGAAATCGGATCGTTTTGATAAGTGGCACTACGGCTCAACCAAACTGAAATATTTTTTGTGCTTTCTATTGATTGTTTTGATTCAAAAAATTTTCTAAGCAATATCATGAAAATTAGTTCATCCAATTTTTTTGGAAGTAAACAAATTGAACTGCTGTTTTCTGTCTTATTATTAAATCATCTTTTACAAGCAGTAATTTTTCTTTAGATTTTTTCAACAAGCTCGAAAACGAGCTTTTCCGAAACTCTTTCGAAATAAATCGGTCAATAAGCCGCTTCGAAATAAGCCGCTTGTAAAACTGAGTTTCTTCGGTTCATCAGACTGCAATAACGTCTTTACAAATCTCCTTTCCATACAGATAGTAATATTGTAACCAGCCATTTTATTTCTAATATTTCCGTCGGTTTTTCTTGAATTGCGCGCGCAGCTCCAAGTAATGGTTTGAAATTTTTTACAAGCAACACCGAGCTCCACGAATACACAAGATATCCGATTTGAGCAAAGTGAGCCCAAGATCGTGACTAATAAATCATTACAACCTGCTTTGCGTCAAAGTTAAAGTTTTCTCTGGACCACTGAAGCTATTCGTTTGTAAATCGTGGTAGAAAACATTCATTTTTCCTCCAGTGCAAAACTTTGCAAGAGGGGTGGAAAAGCTTTGATGTTTTTTTGTTCTTGCTCTATTTCGTTTTTTTAAGAGAAAATTTTTTTTGAGATAATGTTGTGGCAATTAAGTGTGTAGGTTTAATTTTGCATTGATTACCACTTTTACACAAAAAGATGCCTTCTGAAAGCGCTCATCCCTCACAACGGATGCTGCCATATCTACGGAAGACATACTTCCTCTGCAGTAATGTTGCTCACTTCATTCTGTCTTTTTGTGGGAAACCCAATGGCATCCCGAGCCAAGGTCCGCGACTCACGTTGCGACCATATTGGGTCGTGGAAACGGATTTTCTTTCGGCGACCTAAAATCCATTCTCCCGTAAGAGACACAAAGTCGAATAATGGGTCACACAAAGTGGCAGCATGGGTTGATCAAAGTCACAATATGCGTCGCGCAAAGTCGAAACATCGGTCGCTTTTTCATTAGTTTTTTTTTCGGTTGAAACGCTTCTTGGCAGAAAAAAATCTCGATTCAAACACAGTCCAAGTCGTATTCTGAATAAAATTTTTATTGGTTGGGATACTATGGTCGAAATACTTTTCCTTGGTTGAACGTAGTCAAAACATAAACGCCTTGGGTCGGATTGGTCGAAACATATCGAGCTTGGGTCGAGTTGGTCGAATCATCAAATGCAAACCTCGACCCGGGTCCCCCAGATTCGCCCAATTCGCTTTGGTCACACGAAATTGCAACATATTGGTTTTGATTTGCGCAAAGGCGCAGAATGCTTTGTTTTTTAGTCGGTTTTTTAGTTTTCAAAGTCGCGCAAACCTTTCGGTCGCGCAAAGTTGCAACATGCCTATTTTGAGTTGCAATGATCGCACCATACCTTTTTTAGGCCGCACATATTTGCAAACTGTTTTTTTTTGGGTCGGGAAATGTTACGCAAGCATTTAGATTGCGCAAAGTTGCAACATATCCATTTTGAGTCTCAGTGATCACAACATATCTTTTTTGGGTCGCAAAGTCGCAACATATCTGTTTTGGGTCGGACGAATTCGCTCAAATTTCTTCGGTCGCACAAAGTGGCAACATGGCCATTTTGAGTCGCAATGGTCGCAACATACATTTTTAGACCGTGCAAATTCGCAAAATATTTTTTTTGGGTCGGGCAAAGTGACGCAAACATTTCGGTGTTGTAAAGTCGCAAAATACCCCATTTAAGTCGCAATGGTTGCACCATAACTTTTTTAGGCCGCGCAAAGTCGCAACATTCCCAGTTTGAATCGCAATGGTCGCAACATACCTTTTTTGAGTCGCGCAAAGTCGCGCAAATTTTTTTGGTCGCACAAAGTCGCAACATAAGATTGTATCCTAGGAGTATCGCAGTTTTCAGTTTGTTCGTGCAGAAATTTGAACTCATTTTTTGAAATATTCTAACGATCCGCCATCCCCTAGCACAAATTTCGGATACGACCCCGATAAAAAACAGCTAAGCTGTTTAGGAAACAATCAACTTAAAATTCCCACATTCATCGTGCAGTTCTATCAAAGAGAGCACATCGAGAATTTCATAAATGAAACCCAAATATTATGAATTCAGTAGAAATTCTTTTAAACCATCAATAACTTCTTAACAATATGAACAATATGAAATTATGAGGTTCTTCAGCACCAGTTTCATGTCTTCAATCTGAACTGTCGCTACGTTGTCTCTGAAACATCTCAGCATTTTGGTTTTTTATTATTATTAACAAAAATAAAGATAAGCGGTGATGGAGTTGTTTTGAAGTACCAGCAAGTCGGCACAATACGCCGCAAAGTGCATTTGGGTGTAAATTTTTCTAGATGATGTCATAATTAAGTCATTTTTTTTCAGGTTTTAGGCAAGGTTTCTTCCACATTTGACATTTTGGAGAAATATGTTTCGTAGGTTGAAATTTCTTTGTTTGCTGACAAGTTTGAACAAACCCAAAATTTCTCTTGACAAAAATTTTGTTTTAAGAAGAAAATGGATGGGCTTCAAAAAACTTACGAGCTTCAAGGCTACAACAGTAATTATTTGTCTTTTTGAACGCCAACCTACTTTTGAATGTCTTTCGTAGATGATGATTGCAATCGAGAAGAAGGCTACTTGGAGTACCAGGCCGAAGAACGGCCAAACAGCCGAATATTTGTCTAAGCACAAAACCAATTAGAGTTGATAGATTTTTTGCCTAGAGTACCAAGTTAAATGTCTCAAATAACTATAGGCTCTCAATTAAACTTTCGTGATTTTTATGTTACCTCATCCATCGATACTTATTTACAAAAATCAGTCAAAACATATCGGTTAAGTTTACTAAAAAAAAACACTCGAAACAGCGGTTAATTATGGTCTTGGCAAAAATCTTCTTTGAAAAGAAGGCAAAATATGAATCTCATATTTGCTGCAGCAGCTACTGATATCAACTCGAAACGATTTTTTGAGCGAGTCAAAAAAATTTAAACACATAGAGGCTTCTTTCTAAATAATCACTCCTGTCATGATGAAGGAGGAACTGACTCACCGATAACTTTGACCTTGAACCCGAAAACTCTCCTGGCGAAGTCATTCTCAACCACACATAAGTAGTCTCCTGTATCGCCTGCCTCTGCGTGGGGAATGAGAAGGGAGGTGTCGTTGTAGAAGAACTGGACTCGTCCTGATTCCTCTTCTGAGATTTGTAATTCCTGAAAACAAGACCTACTTCCTACTTATTTACGCGCTGATTCGACGAGACCCGAATTAAATTGCTCTCCCCTTTCTGATTTATGTTGCATAAACACCAATGCTTGTCCAGTTGAATTTGATTTAAATTTACACATTAAAAAAAACAGAACTGCATTCAAACAAAAGTTTCTCAATCTTTTCAGGAACTAAAAAGCACGTTTTGTGAAATTTAAAAACTTTATTTCATTATCAGATCTACTTAACAATCCCCGCCCTCCTAATGTATCTACTAAAGAATCTCCACCCCTGTAAATAAAAACAGTAAATCCGCACAAAAATCTTGTATGTAAATTCGAATTTTGCTGCATTCTGATTGGTCGAAAATTCGCTGCAACAATCTCCCCCTTTCTTGAAAGGGGGATTGTTAAATAGATCCTCATTATTAACAATTGAAAATTTTCCAAAGATTTTTCTGGTAAAACGTGGAAACTCTACCAATGCAATTTTAGAGTAATAAATTTCAAAAGTAATACATTTAACAGTGCTTGATAAATAAAGACGACAGGCCATTAATACGACAAGACATCAGGCCGACAAATAAGAGTTATTACAGGTGAAATGGGCAATTTGATTTAAAGCGGTTTAAGTTTCTCAAAAAAACAATGAAGCAGAATTGCGAGTAGCAGAATTTCGTATACAATGGAGCAGAATCTTAAAGTCTTACCAAAAACGGTTGTTTTCTAAACGGCTGTCGTCTTATTTGCCGGTCACCAACTTAAGTACAAAAGATCAAGAGCCATTAGTTCCTCTCTTCTTCATCCCCCCTACATAAAAATAGGAAACAGAAAAAGGAGTTATTGCCTCGACTCTACTATCATCAAAAATGCATCCTACCCGGGTTGAGGTGCTCGACTCATGATTCAAACGAATGATTCGATGTCCGTTTTCGACTTTTTCAGTCGAACGATGTCCAATTTCGACTTCATGAGTTGAACAATTACCGGACATTTTTCGACTTTGTTCGACTTTATCGGGAATTAGCAGAAAAGTCCTAAACTACAACGAAACTCGGACATCATTTGACTGTTTCTGTCAAATCATGTTTCAAAACCTCAACCTGGGCAGCCACAAAATATAATAGAAAATGCCACAAATTGAGCATCGTAGATTCGTGTAGCCCGAGTTGTGTTGTTGGACTTACGTTTCAATCAAAGAGACCAAAAATGGCTATGTTTCGACCGGTTCATTTAAAAGTGGCAATGTTTTGACCGACTCCACCCAATTTTGTTATGTTTTGACCGACTTGATTAAAGAAAAATTGGCTTCGATTGTGTTTGTTGTCAGCTAACTATGTTGCGACCGGCTCGACCCAAGCTGGCTATGTTTCGACCGACTCTACCAAAGGATAAAGTGTTCGACAGTGTTTGAAGCAAGCCAATTAGTTTTGAACGGACTCAGCCAAATGAAAAATTGATCGATCGCAGCCCATTATTTTTTGATTGACTCGAGGAAATTATCGGTGTTTTGAACGTCTCAACTAAACAAAAATGTTTTCAACTGTAATCGACGCAACTGAGTGTTAAAAAATTCCTAAAATTTCTGTTTAATGAATCAATCAGAACTGAAAATAGGGGTAAAAGGCCAATGCGGAGACGGTGTGACATTCCAGACCAAAGCGTAGACAGCGCGATTTCCCAGGCAAAGCGGAGGCAGTGCGCCTTTCTAGACCAAGGCGGCGACGGCGCAATTTTCCTAACACTTATCTCTATAGCTGCTATTACTTTCGTGGATTCACAACCGAAACATACATAACGATATTGATGAGGTTTGCACATAGGTTCTCGTAGTTTCCTCATTTATCAGCTGCAAAAAATGCTTTTGAATTTATAATTAAAACGTTATAATTAACTGGCTAATAGGTGAAATAATGACCAAATGATAATAAAAACCGATAGTTATTGAAAGCAGTCTCGATATGAAACTTTCTTCAATTGATTTTTTTTATTCAGTCCAGTTGAATTGATATTCATAGATCATTTGCCGAGCTAAGTTGAGCCCAACTTTTACCAAGTCCTTTTTGAATTATTTTTTCTACTCCAAGGTTGCAATGTAAGACTATATGGCTCTCAACCTCTGCTTCAGTTCTCTAAAGATAAGTTTTCTCCCAATTATTAGTAAGGTGACCAGTTCATATCTCCGGCGTTTTCTATGCAATTTTGTTGTCAAAAAGCCCAAAGGTCAACTGTACAAAAACCTTATCTGACCTCTCAGTGATAAAGCATCTTGTTTTATTTTTTGTCGGGTTTTGGAAGGTGTAAATTTTGTTCTTTTTCCGGTTTTTAGTTTTAACAATCTTCAATAACAATCGATTGTCTCGTATTTGACAAGCAAAGAGTGTGGTGCACCTTTTCAAATGTTTTTTAACGATACTTTTAAATATATTTTGAAAACAGTCGATTCGAGTATAGGGGACCAAAAAAAACTGGAAGACGTAACTTTTACCGTTTAATTTTGGGTCTTATCTTTGAAAAATAAAATTTTTCGGGCGAAATTCTCCCGAAGCAAGCTAATTAAGAGTCTTAATGTTGTTTTTGATTGCTCAAAACTGTACAAAAATCTTTTCTGTCCTCTCAGTGAAAAAACATCTCGTTTTTTTGTCGGGTTTTGGAAGGTGTAAATTTTAGTTTTTTTTCCGGTTTTTAGTTTTAACAATCTTTAATATCAATCGGTTGTCTTATATTTGACAGACGAAGGGTGTGCTGCGCCTTTTCAAATTTTTTCTAACGGTAACTTGAAATATATTTTGAAAACAGTCGATTCGAGAATAGGGTACCAAAAAAAATTGGATAACGTAATTTTTTGGTTTAACTTTGGGTCTTATCTTTGAAAATATATCTTTCCGGCGGAATTTTCCCAAAGCAAGCTGATTCAAAGTCTGAATATTATTTTTGATAGCTCGAAACTGTACAAAAACCTTTTTTGTCCTCTCAGTGAAAAATATCTCGTTTTTTGTCGGGTTTTGGAAAGTGTAAATTTTAGTTTTTTTTTCCGGTCTTTAGTTCTAACAATCTTTAATATCAATCGATTGTCTTATATTTGACAGACGAAGAGTGTGCTGCGCCTTTTCAAATCTTTTCTAACGATAATTTGAAATATATTTTGAAAACAGTTGATTCGAGAATAGGGTACCAAAAAAAACTGGAAAACGTAATTTTTTGGTTTAACTTTGGGTCTTATCTTTGAAAATATATCTTTCCGGCGGAATTTTCCCAAAGCAAGCTGATTCAAAGTCTGAATGTTATTTTTGATAGCTCGAAACTGTACAAAAACCTTTTTTGTCCTCTCAGTGAAAAACATCTCGTTTTTTTGTCGGGTTTTGGAGATGTAAATTTTTTTTTTCAATTCTTGGATTTACCAATCTTCAATATCAATATTCTTCATTATCTTAAATTTCACAGACGAAGAGTGTGCTGCGCCTTTTTAAATGTTTTTTAACGAAAACTTTAATTAAGTTTTGGAAACAGTCGACTCGAGCATAGGGTACCAAAAAAACTGAAGAACGTCATAATTACCGTTTTTATTTTGAGCCTTATCACTAAAAAAATAAAGATTCAGAACTTGCGCGTTAGTTTTGATTGCTCAAAACTGTACAAAAACCTTTTCTGACCTCTCAGTGAAAAAGCATCTTGTTTTAAATTTTGTCGGGTTTTGAAAGGTGAAAATTTTGTTATTTTTCGAACTTTGGATTTACCAATCTTCAATCTCATTCGATTGCCTTTTAGTTCACACGCGAACAGCGGGCTGTGCCTTTTTAAAGGTTTTTTAGCGATTATTTTAAACATATTTTGGAAACAGTCGATTTGAGCATAGGATACTAAAATTTGTTTTCAATTTTAGCTTCGTGGTAAGTGTGTTTCATTTAGTTGTCGTCTTTTTGTTAATATTCAATTAACTTCTCTGAGTTATGTTTGGTTTGGATGATTTCTAGCTTTCAGTTTTTGTGGTAACGAATTTGTTGTTTCCCTAAAAAGATTGCTTATATTTTACGTTGGGACCATGTGTAGGCCTTCTTGTGCCGGTCCTGTATATGATCTGCAAATTTGTTGATCTAGCTAACTGCACAAAAAAATACATATATACTGGATGATTTTGCGATCTGCATCTGTAAAACGCTTTTGCAAGCAAAAAAATCCGACAACAATACATTACTTCAGCTTTGCGCGACCCATGTTGCGACTATGCGCGACCAATGTTGCGATTTGCGCGAGCCAAATTTATGTTGCGACCCTGTTCGACTCATGATTCGACCCTGTTCGACTCGTGATTTGACCCTGTTCGACTCATGATTTGACCTTGTTTGACTCTATCGACCCTGTTCGACTCATAATTCGACCCTGTTTGACCCATGATTCGACTTTGTTCGACTATAGTGTTCGTTCGACCGTCTTAATTTGCGACGAAAATCGGACTCCGTTCAACCGTGTCGGTCGAATCATGAATCGAACACCTCAACCCGGGTAAAATTGTTAGCATATTGATGAGTTTTAACTAATCGACGATTTTTTTGCTAGGAAGCGCTCAGTAAAACAAAGTGTCATTATAGTTCAACAAAATTGAAACCCGATTATTGCTAACGATATACTTCAATAGCTTTTCAAAAATTTATCGATTTGGATAAATTCAGAGCCGAGGACAACCGGTTGTTGTGCAAGAAGCACAGAATGTTCTGACCCTAAATTTCATTCCAAGACACTAACAAAATAAGTAAAAAGCTAGAAAAATAAGTTTAAGGTTTGAATACGGTTTGGAAAAAATGGTGAAAGTTATGGTTGTGATTACGTTTTCGTTCTTTGTTCTTCGTTAAGTTATTTTCTCAATATCCTATTTGAAGTCTAAATCTCTCAAACTCAGAAAAAAAGTCCAAAACTTACACGATTAAACCCCCCTGCCTTTAACCGCCCCCAGATACCACATTTATTCAAAGTTTGACAACAATATCTGGCAACAAAATGAATGATTATCATTCATGATAATTTAGTGCAGGTAGGCGCAAATTGAAACAAGGATAGCCGGTTGCTGTGCAAGTAGCACAGCATGTTTTGACCATATTCCTGAAAACTAGAAATATAAGTTCTTCAAATTGGTGTCGTTTTTTGTACGTGGCATGATGAGAAAGCTATACACAAGCCTAAAAAGACGGTAAATTAGGCATAATTGACAATAGTTGTCTTCAAAAAACAAAAAACTTAAAAAGAAAAAACTTCGACAATTCATTTTTTTTCATTTAAAAAATTTTTTTCTGGCCATGGAAGTGCCAAAAAAACCTTTCAAACTATTACCTTTCAAAAATTTTTCAAACTATTAATTTTTTTTTTAGCCTAAATGATCAATTTAACAAGTTATCACCACTTTATTTGGTCGAAATTGAACTAAAAACCAAAAAATTCTTCTCGGTTTTTCTCGACACTGGGAATATTTGTTGGAAATTGTTTAATGTGGTTCAAATCACGAATGAAAGGGCTTCAATATGATATATTACTCAACTCAGTGCAGTTAATATTTGTGGTACCTGATTTTGTGTTTAAAACAAAAAGAAAAAAAAGAAAAAAACCAAAACACACTCAAATACAAAGTTCCAACTCATTTTCAAGACAAAAATTTTTTGGCTGAAAAGAGGTACCTGCAATCTTAAATGCTTTCCGGGCCCAGAATTTATGTTTCTCTTTGGAAGCCGAGCTTAATATCAATGCTTGATTGCTTAAAGAATAGTCACAACAGTGGTTTGGGTCAAGCAAACATTCGAAACATTCCTCAAGGTTCGAAATATATAAAATTGCGGTCGAGCACACCATACCTCAAGCATGGGCAAAATAAACCTCGAGCACTCCGAAATATTATTTCAGTATGTCGAAACGTATATTGAGCACGGTTGATACATATGTTCGTCCCGCTGTATGACCCTAAATTTACGCAAATTCGTCCAAGTATATTTTTTATATCAATTTTTTGTTATTTCTCAGTTAAAAACTGGAAAAAAAACATCACAAAAACAACACAATTCAAAAGTGGTTTTTTTTCTCGACAAACCATTTAATTTCAAATTGAGTTTTAAAATTTGACAAAAAAGACACCCTGAGATATTGCCCAAAAAATTTAAACTATAAATTTAGACTATGATCATTCATTTCAACTGAAAGTGAAAACATTCCCAAAATTGGCCGCGACTGTCAAAACATATCTCGTTGGGTCGAGCAAAGTCAAGCTTATTTTTTTTTTCGATCGAGAAATTCGAAGTAGACCTGATTTTTGATCGCGACGGTTAAAACCTTGAGTGAACACCTCGACCCGGGTTTCCGAACTTAGTTGGTCTAGTGTCAGTTTTTTTGCTCTCAGTGCGTAGATGGATGGGAGCTGGCCGCAGCTTGACCAAAAGTTGGCTTTAACAGCTGTACCACACGAATAAACTGCTTTTCACGCGAATTACGAAAATAGCCTGGTCACTCAGCAACTTCTCTATTATGTGGGGAGATATAATTCAAATTTAAATTAGCTATGTTTAGACTGTTTCGTCTTTTCAATGTAAATTTTCTACGAGTGTCGGAAACTGAAAGCGACTTGAATCAAAATGTTAACCTTAGTTCCATCTCGCTTGATCCATCTAATCGAAGCTGTTGGGAACCCCCATTGGTAGACGTAGAGTGCGGGTATGCTGAGCACTATCTTTCGCGTTTCAGCAGCAATCACCTCTGTTTTGGAGGGCGGATGAGGCGAAGGTGATCCTAAATTGAAACTTTGACCCAAAACGACAAAGTTTATTCCCTGTAAAGTCTCAAGACAAAATTTCCAAATCCATTTTATTCAAAAACTTTTTTTCGAACCCCTCCAAAAAACGGAAGATTATTCGTCTTAGACGTCGGCCATATGTGAGATAGAATTGAAATTGCGCTTGAATATTTCTGGGCAGAGAGTGTGATATTGTAACTCACTTCCGATAGCTACCAATTGGCTCCAATGCTTGATGCTCCTCGGCTCTGTTGATCCATCCTCGGTTGTGACGCTGCTTTCCTCGAAGCAGACACATCGAAACCTGCCCATTTGTTTGAAGAGAGTATTTTCTGTCAAAGTGTAGCGAGTCCCGTTTCCAACACGGTCCGACATCGCCCTGAATTATAAACCATTTTTTCAAGGCAAAATTTATGTTAAATCTAACAAGAACTGTCGGTTGCTGTTTAAGTAGCCCAAGCAATCCCACGTCAGGTATCGTTGCAAAAGAAGATAAAATGTATTTATTGAATTTTTTTTTATTTGTTGAATTTTTTTTGCACTAAAGAAATTCCATAATCAAAAGAATTAAACCGCTTTTTTACAAACCGCCTTGTGCTAAATCGTACAATCTTCGCTACATTTTCAACTGAATAACAAAAATTAACCAGGAGGAATCTATTCTGGTTCTTACTTGGCACTAAATGCATGATTTCATTGTTGTCATCAGATTTATTTTGATTTCTCCTTTAAACCTTGTAAAATTGATGTCGGTGGCCAAAACCTTAGAAACATGACGCCCTGCATAATCTCTTTGTATTCTTTTGATTTTTAAAAACTGCTGCTGATGTTGAAAACTCATCACTATTAGGTATAATTATCTGTTTTTCCTTCTTTTGAAAATCCCATCATGCCAATAAACCCATCGCTACTTTTTGACTAAAATCAGTTTTTTTTCTGGATGCTTTACTTAATAACCTTTTTCATGTGCCCCATTTTTTCCATGATGTACGCAATTCAGCAATCTGTTCAATCTATTCAACTCATAATTATGAATCCCCACTCAGATTTTCTTCCATCCACATAACGAGGCCAAACTGTGCATTTGCGAATTGAGAGCGGATTCCGCAACAGGAGAAAATCAGATTTGTTGCGGAATTTGCTACATTGCTTTTTTTATCTTCTCTGCTGTTTTGGATTTGACTGTTTTGGATTTGACAAAAAAAGCAACTTTGCGGAATCCGCAATAAAATGTGTAGAATCAGGAACCAATTTGAAGAATTCATGAACAATCAATAATATACGCGCTTAGTAAACTTAAGTTGTCAAGGAATCCGCAACTGTAAGTGGTATCCATAAATTTTTAGCTGAATCCGCAAATTATAAGCGGAATCCTCATAAATTTGCGGAATCCGCTTACATTTGCGGAATCCGCTTACATTTGAGGAATCCGGAACAACTACCTATATTTGCCCGTTGCGGAATCCGCAACAAAATCAATGGGCCGACAAAATTACGTTACAGGTATTTGTACCCGGAATCCACTAACATTTTGGAAAAAGTTTAAAGGCTTTTCGCTGGAATCCAGGAACATACATGCATGAAATTGTGCGCTTATTTCAGTTATTTCCTTGATGCTTGACCAATATTACTTTTAAACCTTTGGTCTATTTTTTTGCAATTCATTATCAGTCTTCGAAAAGTTTGTCCTCCACAATTTTTAGTAAAATTTTGCTTTTTTCACAATTTGTCTCGATTAAATTAAATTGATATCTGAGATCATATTTAAATTTCTTCTAAATGATTGCTCTCTCTCACACTCTCTGTCACTCTGATTCTCTCTCTCTCACTCTCACTCTCACTCACTCTCTCTCTCTCTCTCTCTCATTCTCACTCTCACTCTCACTCTCACTCTCACTTTCACTTTCACTCGCTCTCTCCTTCTCATTCTCACTCTCACTCTCTCTCACCCTCACTCTCACTCTCATTCTCTCTCTCTCACTCACACTCATTCTCATTCTCATTCTCTCTCTCTCACTCTCATCTCACTCTTACTCTCACTCTCACTGCCACTCTCACTCTCACTCTCATTCTCATTCTCACTCTCTCTCTCTCTCTCTATTTCTCTCGCTCTCTCTCGCTCTCTCTCTCTCTCTCTCTCTCTCTCCCTTTCATTCTCACTCTCTTTCTCTCTTACACGCTCTCATTGTGACTTTCACTCTCACTCACTGCAGAAAACTAACTTTTACAGCACAAAACTTTATGTTTAAGTGTGAATTAGTTTATTAAGCAGCGAAATGAATTTTTGCAAGATGCTCTTCTCACTCTCTCACTATCTCACTATCTCTTTCACTCTCTCACTCTCTCTCAATCTCCTTCTCACTCTCGATCTCACTCTCTCACTCACTCTCATTCTCATTCTCTTTCTCTCACTCACACTCTCACTCTCACTTTCACTCTCACTCTCTCACTCTCTCTTTCACTCTCTCACTCTCTCTCACGCTCACTCTCACTCTCGATCTCACTCTCTCGCCCTCTCTTTCTCTCACTCTCACTCTCAGTCTCATTCTCACTTTCCCTCTCACTCTCTCACTCACTCTCTCCCTCTTTCTCTATCTATCTTTTGCACTCACACTCTCTTTTTCTGTCTCTCATTCTCGCTCTCACCCTCACTCATTGCAGAAAACTAACATTTACTGCAGAAAACGTTGAGTTAAGATGTGAATTGGTTTGTTAAGCATCGAAATGATTTTTACAAGATGCTCTTCTAAAACTAAATTAAAATAAATTAAAATGATTTTTTGGAAAAACGGAAAAATATTTCCTGATGCCCCATAAGTTTTTCAAGATACTTTTTTCTTAGTTTGTTCCAACGTTAGGGTAAAAATTTTTGGTTAAAAAGTCCATCAATGTTGCAAGGAGCTTCTGAGGTGACTTTATTACCTTAAACATGTGTTTCAGGGGGATATATTTAAGGTTCTGCTTGAAAATTTTCGGCAGAGTAAGATTTTGAAAATTTTTATAAATATGGATTGTTTTGTTCGCTCAAAGTTTTTTTGTAGTTTTGTTTTCCACGCAACTCGAAGTAATAAATAGAAAGACAGCTGAAAAAAAAAATAAGATTTATTACAAAACATTCTTATTCCAGTGACTCTTTACTTCGGTTTAGGTAACTAGTCACGTGAAAAGTTTAATTGAAAATTCAACTGATACATTTATCGCCAATGATTAGGAAAACGTTAACTGTTTAAAAGGATTATAAAGCGTAGATAAAACTCATCTATTTTAATTTGACTGAAAATGAAAGACTTTATGAGAGCACAAGCTGTAATTTTTGAAATCCATAAAAACGGTTTAGATTGATTTTTAAAAGGGCAGATAAAAGTGTTTTATATGTCTATAAAAAGTGCAAAAAAAAATTCAACTGTAAACTTTAAAACATTTACAAGCAATTGATAACATTAATTCAATTCTCTACAAAATGTATTAAAGTTTAAGCTGTAAAAATTGCAAAAATTTTTAGAATCGACCAAAATGTTTTTTTTTTGCTAAATTTTAATAGCATTAAAAAAAAAACGATTTATAATAATTAAAATCAATATTTTTAGGTTTTTTTTCAAAATTTTCGATATGAAACTGACTGTAATTCCTTTCTTGTCGGTACGAGTAGAATTCGCAGGCTCTTCGGACTCTGTTTTTTAATACTAAAAATGAAATAAGGTCTTTTAAATCCTCACAAATAATATAGTGTTTTTTATACCTATAAATATCTCACATGGCTTTTTGGCAAACCAATCAGCGGCAAATGATTGCTGTCAAACTCAGTTGTTTCTTTGGCTGATTTTGTATACGAAGAGTTCGTCAGAAAAAAAATTTAAGTGATTTGTATTATTCCTGTTTCTAGTTTTTGCAACAAAGATCCCATCACGAGTATTGTCGTTCTGACAATCGCCGTTAGACAAAAAAAAATGACCTAAACTTGGTTTGCCTTAAATTGACCAAAACGTGACTAATATTTAAAAAAAAATTAGTGTTCAGTTCGAACGCGGGTTCATTCTAATAATTTTTTAATAATTGTTTTAGCAAAACAAACCTACTCAAATTTTGCAGATTTATCATCCATCAGTACGGGCAAATTTGTGCAAATAGGCGATGTTTGCAAACAGTCGACATATCCGGTGAAATGATCCAAGTATTCGAGGCGTCTCAAGTCTAGAAACCAGACAATTCCGACGTTGTTTGTTTCAATTCTACTTAACTGGGGTTTCAGTGACGAGTAGCCGTCTATGACCACATGCAAGTCGACACCTAAAGAAAGAAAAAATTGATTTGTCTGATCCGATCTAAACTCACTTCATCTTAATGCAGCCCATCTTTTACAAGTAATTGAACCAGAGAAGACGCTTAAAGGACCATTCAGTCGCCGGATAGTGCCCTAAAGTCTTAATACAATTTTATAATATTCTAGCAATCATATCAAGCTCAAATCGAGTCTACCTGTCGGTTGCCTTCTAAGCTTGTTTTCAAATCGTTATGCTAACTTCGAAAAAGAAAACACAGCAAAATTTTTTTCTGTCCCGTCGCCTTTGATTCATCTGACTACTACCACGAGCTAAAATTTTAGAGAGATCCTTTCAAAATATACAAAATTTCATGTGGTTGATGATAAAAAGATCAACCAAACAAATTATTCACAACATTATGTTTGTAATGCGATGCAAAAAAGCCCAGCAATTTTTTTAAAAAAAATTAACAAAAAACAAAAAAAGGGGAAAAAAACAATAATAGTTTAATTGTCGTGAAATCTAATGACAATTTTTATAATTTTAAAAACGTTCAACAATGATTCGTAACATAAATGGCTGGAAGGTTAAATATAGCCAAATAATCATACAGAGTCGAATGATGTAACTTAAAGTCAAACTAAATCGAGCAATATCCTTTAAGGCCAAAGAAACCTCAGATATAATCATCGCAGTTTCAGAACCTGATCAGTGGCTCCTTATCTTTGATCACTGCATTTGCAGCACTGATCCATGATATAGTTCTGAATCAGGGATGACTATACCTGACATTTCAACCAAGAAGGCAGAAAATTGCTGGCAAATTCTAACGAAATCGTATTTAAAAAGTCAAAAACAGACCTCGTTTGACTAAAAAAGTGGAAAAGTACATGATTCGATCGCTTCTGTCCAATAATGAGTCGAGCAATCAAGCCAGGTGCCGATTAGCGTGCGGAATTTTTTTGTACGCATATAGCTGGTGAGAGGCAAAAAAGGCACGGTAGCAAAAAAATGAAGCCTTGAGCTTATCAATTCTCCTAGCCGAACTCTGTGAAGCCATGTTAGAAACAAAAGTAGATGTGGATCATTTTAAATAATCTGACGATAGCCACTGACGATAGCCACAATTTTGCCATAAGCAACTGAACAAACCATTTTTTGGAAACTTTCTTTGTAGAATTTGTTATGACATACTTGCCAATGTTTTCGGGTGTTACCTGGTGATTGCACAGCTAGTAATGATGACCTTCGATCTCCATTTTTGGGACATCTGCACGTGACCACTCCACTGTCTTTCAGTGAGACACTGCTGATCACCAAGTTCATTTTTACAACTAAAGAGCAAAAACAAAGACCACTTTTAGAAAAAAAAAGATAAATAACTTTATAGGCTGATAAGCATAGATTCTCGTTCGGATCATTTGGTTGAGTTTCATTCAAAATTTTGCAATGACTTTTACACTTGTGGACAAAGTTTTGTATAAAATCATGGCTATAGTATCGAAAATTCATTTTTTATCTGTTTTGACATTATTTTATTGAAATTGCAACCATATTTTAGAACTGACCGGGAGCAAATGATCAAAAATACTCTCAGCGAAAGTCTCAGTATTTGGTTCCATGGTCTTATTGTTTTTAACATCTTGTGTACGGTTTCAAAACAGAGTGAACTTGTAAGAAACACCGAGCTTAGGAGAGTTGAGATGCTGAACAATTCACTTTTTGTCAATTTCAACCAAGAAAATCAATCATTGATCTAAATATTTTTTTGTTTAAGAGAGACGGAAGAAAAGTTGGCTACAATATATATGCGCGTTTCAGCGTTTTGAAAATTTCACATTTCTTGAAAATTTTTTATTCATTGTTTCGTTCGAGAAAGAGCTCAGCCGAGCTGAAAACTAACCGCAGATGGTATAAAATGACAGCTCCAGACCCGGAGGCAGTCGAAGTCTTTAAAAGTAGTAGCAGATTTAGGGGGAGGGGAGGGGAGGGGCGTAGGATGGGCTTATCTTTTGTTTTCATTGGTTCAAATCGGCACTACCCCCTCATTCGACGCGATTCATCCCCCACATTAGTAATATTGTACAGCAGTTTTAAGGGACAGACCCTGAATTATACACCAAGATTAATTTGGGATGATTAATTCAAAAAATGTCTAAATTTCAAATTTATGGTATTTTGGGAGAGCTCGGAAAAACCATGGTTAACGTAAAAAAAAATTGACCAAAAATTCTGAAATTTTTTTAGAATCGCATATTCGTGCTTGTTTAAAGTAAGTGTTAAAAACTTCATCCACAATTATTGATTCTAGGTGGATATAATAGTTTTTTTTTCTCGTAAACCAAAGCGGTTTTTGAATAGACATTTGACAGTTTGAAAGCCTAAATTTGCGTTTTTTTATTCCATAAGCCTAACTTTGCTGATCAAAAACTCTGGCTCATTACCTAAACACGTAAAACTTACACGTCTTAGTTTTACTTTCCTTATAGAACTTTTAAAGCCTTGAAGTAGAAAAAGTAAGCATTCAATTACTGTTGCAGAGTATCAAGTTTTGATTTTAATTGGAATGTGATCTGAAAAGACCGAAATTTTTTTGGAGCAACGTGACTGATTATGCGACGTAAAACAGTAAATGTAGTAAGAAGAACCTTAATAAGTTATGCTTTAATTAAATAATGAAAGGTGATTGGAGTAGAATGTTGCGCAATCAAAAATGATTAGTTATTCAGAAAAGAAGCGCTTCTTTTTTGAAGACCAAATTTATTGCGTAAAATTGAAAACTCCAATTTTTATGTACCTTTTATACAAAGTAGTTGGTGTAAGATATTTACTGTGAGTAGTTGGTGTAAGATATTTACTCTGAGTAGTTGGTGTAAGATTATTACTCTGACAATAAAAGCATAAATGGCAAGTTTAAAATATTAACCATTTTATTAGACTTGAAAATGGCTAATATTTTAAAGTTAAACATATATCTCAAGTTCCATTATTGAAATTTTCAGCAACGACATTAAAAAAGGAGACCTTGAATGAGAGTGAAAATTTATCAGAAAAGAGAAAAAATTGCGTGATGAATCATAAACATCTAACAAAAATCAACTTAACAACAACTATAGCTCCATTTTTTACCAGTTTTTTGCCTTTTTCAAGAAAAGTTAAGCAAAGTTTTAAAATCCAAATAACCTATGCACTCCTCGTATTCAACTGCTCTTACATGTAAAGGTTCAAACAGTCGTATGTTTATCACGCTGGGAGGATTTTCCACGGACACGCACAGTCAAACATAGACATACACTTTTTTCTTTTATTAGATAAACAGATAACCCAAGCAGTCGTTACATTTTTCATGAGTTTGAATGATGCTTTCGTCTATCGCCAGTTATTTAAGCATCAAAGATGTTGATTTTTACTTTCGTAAAGTACAATAAAACAAAAAATTCGGTTGGCACTGCACTTTTGAATAAAAACATTGCCAGAAAGTTGTAAGATTTCGGAATAATTTCAAGTCACAGTTTTGAAAACTTTTACGCTGGTCATGGACATTTTTGCTTCAAATGAAAAAAAATATATAGATTTTTTGTTTGTTTTACGCCTCGCATCAACGAACCCGAATTCAATTCGATACTTTGTAAAGATGTTTATCATACAGATCAAACAATTCAATTGAACAAAAACATTATATGAAAATGGAATTGTATGAAAAGCGTTTTTTTTTCTTGTATATTTGTGTTCTGCCTGAAAACAATAACCAAAAATTTTTCTCAAACAAGAAAACAATCTCGTTAAACGGCAATAATTTAACTACTTATTTAACTACGTACTGCTAGATACCGAGTCAACCAAAAACTGAATTTGACACAATATTATAACAAAAAACTGTAAATGTTCGTGTATGGCCACGAGGCCTCTGTTTCGAAAAACTCAGACATTGAAATTCGTTTTTCGTTTAGATTTAGGTAATATCGTATCATCTAAAAGGAAGCAAAATCTGTGATCACAGAGAACCTTCAATGATTCTGTAATAACAATAACAACAGAAAGACTTAAATTCCTTCCATGAAGGTATAAAGAAATGTAATAACAAAATCAAGACGTACAATTAGAACAATTACAGTTAATAAACCAAGAGCACGAGTTTTGCATTGAGTATGCATTCGCTGTGATATTGAATAGAAATGTTTTAATGTTTCTCCTGAAAGTAGCGGGACTATCATAAATGTCGATTCCAAGACCAGGATGGGCGAGAAAATGATTCGCAAGTTTCACCACACGATTAAAGAAGGACTCCCTAGTTCGTCGTTTCCTATTGCGTCGGATCTCAAACATAACTGTATCGGAGGATCGGTGACCGGTCATTTCCGGTGCATAAGAGACAAAGTGGAACAAATCAAAATCTAATTTGTCGTTGAGAAGTTTGTTGAAAAGGGTGAGATCATTGAGTTGGTGGATGAGAGAAATAGGCAACATATTTGTCACACAGAGTAGAATGTTGTAAGGAGCTGTGTAGTTGCGTGTACTCCATCTGAGCGCTCTACATTGGAGCGCTTCTAGCTTGCGGATACTGGTAAGGTCTGGGAACCAGGTTTGAGAAGCATAAAGAATAACTGAGAGAACACATGACTTATAAAGTTGGAGTTTGGTAGTGGTGGAACAGGTAATTAGGATGTTTTTTTTTTCAACACGAACAAACTCCTGTTGGCTGAAGCTAACTTTTTTTCAATATGCGGTCTCCACGACAGGTCATCGGCCACCCTTACACCGATATGTGTCGTCAGTTTTTCCGAATGACATCGTTTTACACTTATCTGGGTGAAAACTCATTGAGTTCTCGATAGACCAAGCGAGGAAATTATCAATATCGTAGTGTAGATTCTTTGCTATGGGTGATTCTGTCGAAATCATTTTGCTATCATCGGCAAACAGAAAACAGTCGGAGTATTTACAGTAGTCTGGGAGGTCATTAATGAAAATAATGAATAACAACGGACCTAGGACGCTCCCTTGAGGAACATCACTAGTAACCGAAGCAATGTAAGAGAGAACCCCGTTAATGTTCACACATTGAGTTCTGTCAGCGAGGTAACTCCGGATGAGTTCAATGAAACTTGGGTCGAGGCCCATTTTTTTCAGTTTGTGCAATAAAACGACATGAGGCATTTTTTCGAATGCTTTTTGAAAATCGAAGTATACCGCGGAGTGCTTCTTATTGTTCTCAAGTTGATTGTAGATATTGTCAAGATAGGCTAGTAGTTGAGTAACCGTGGATCGATATTTTGGGAAGCCGTGTTGTTGCTTGGCCAACTGCGACTTTATTCTAGGATAAAGAAAGTTGAAAATAAGTCGCTCCAGAATGAGAGAGAGCCGAGGTAGAATGCTAATGGGGCGATAATTGGAAATAAGAGACCGAGAGCCATCTTTGAAGATAGGTGTTATGTAACTGCATTTCCATATAGTGGGCCACACACAAGAGGATAGAACAAAGGAGAAAAGAATGGAAGCAAAAGAGGCTAATACTGTTGAGGCGTTGTGTTACAGGCAGGACGGAAGGCCATCGGAAGACTGAGAATGTGAATCAGGGCATTTCGACAAGAGTGTTTCAACTTTTTTACATCGAAGTTTAAATCATTCAGAAATATACTGGGTTGTTGGTCACCAGGTGGTTCAGGATTATCTGTTGTAATTGGATTAAACACGGAAGCGAAAAATCCATTGAAAAGATCGCCTTAGTTCCGGTCATCGGTTGCAAATTTTGTTTCCCAGGTGAGTTTAGATGGCAGGGGGGCTTTCCCTGAGAATCGTTTCAGAAACTTAAAAGCTTCTGATGTAGACATCCAGCAGATGTCTTTTAGCAGAACGTTTTTATCGAGCTCTGCCGACTCGAGAAAATTGTTTCTTGTAGCGTGTAGGAACTCTTCATTGAAGATTGAGTTCGATTTGTGCTTCTTCCTCTCCAAGGTTTCTAATTTACTAAGCATGTGCATTGTGTGAGAGCAATAATAAAAAGGCCTAGTGGCGCATTTCTTGCGTTTACGAGGGACCGTAGAAGAAAGTGCATTGTGGACCATACTAGTCCATTCTGCACTGTCAGAGACATACAGTCAATGGCCTGTTCCACACGAGTAATGGGTGGGAGGGAAGGGCGAAACGTTCAGGATTGAAGGAGCTCCAGGCTAGCTGTTGGTTGAAGATGACGGCTGTATTGTAGTGGCTTTTCGAGAGTTGAAACAGTACACCAGCTTGATCTGATAGGTTGCTCCATTTCGGGTTTTCGATGTGTTCTATTATATCAGTGTTGGTTACTAGTTTAATATCCAGAAGATTGCCTTGTTTGTGGGTCGGGAAGGACAGAACTTGTTGGAGATTATTCTCCTGGCACCATTTAAGGAAGGGAAGGTCAACAGCTTTGGTTGATTGATAGGTCGGCCGTCAATATCAGAGAAATTGAAGTCACCGAGAATTAAAGTTCCATAATGAAGACTATTTGAGGAATTGAAAGATTCTTTAAACTGGGTAAAATATTCAGATAATTAGCTACTCAGAGTCTGCGGCGAAATAGCATAGTTGCTGCTTCTTGGCGGATTATAAACCGTGATAATCAACAACATTGTAGAGTGGAATGTGATGATACAGGCACAGGCAAAGTCTTTGTCAACTCCAATGCTGGTGAAGTCAACATTATTAAATACAGAATTATTGGCAGCAATGAGGACACCTCCGTGCGCCCCATTTGTTCGATCTGACCGACTGATAATATTATAGTTGCTCGCAGGAAAGACACTCAAAAAAGGGTGGTTACTATCTACCCATGTTTCTGATAGTAAGAGGATATCAGGGTTGTAAGAAGTGAAAAAATTCAGATATGCTAATCTTCTCTGAAGACTAAGAAGGCTTTGGACATTCATCATCATCAGGGAAATATTGCTCCTCGGAGTTGTCAGTCACAATTTAGAGATTGTGGAATGGAGAGTGTCAACATCGGCTAGCGTGTCCAGCTGTTTGTCTTTATAGTAGAGAGTAAGATTTTTGATTTTCATGTCTTCTTTCCTGATGCCTTTTTGAGAGAGAAGGTAGCGTGTTTTAAGCAGTGCTTCCTCTTTTTTTCTTTCTTCTTTGGTGCAGTCGCCTCGAAGGAAAAAGGAGGAGTTCTTGAGCAGGCCAGAGGAAGCCTTGACCCGTTTGGCGGTTATTGCATTGTGAAATTGGACGATGAGAGGACGAGGTTTTCTTGCGTTTTTGATAAATGAGCCTCTACGGTATACATCAGTGATGACAGCATCCGCGCACTTCACAATCTTCAGAACTTTTTCTACATTTGAGTTTTCTTTGAGGAGTCTATCAGATGGAGACTTGAAATCTGTCACTTCGGGCACGTTCAGTATTACTACTGATTCTTTTCGATGTTCATTGTTGTCAGGAGGAGGAACATCAGCTGGTTTTGTGATGGAGGTTAATCCATTGACTTTGGTTGTGATTTCCATCAGAGACTTTTTCACTCCTTTGCTTTCACTTTTGGCTTCTGCTGAACAAACTGCTTTGACCTGGGTGGAAAGATCATTAATGGAATTTTCAAGTTTGGGAATGTTCAGTAGAAGTTTTTGGTGCCTGTTTGCCGTTCGTAACTGTGATATGGACTCCCGTAGGAGGCATAGTAGGCTTTCTTTGGTTTGCTTGGATGTGATTTTATTGAAGTGTTCGGCGTTGGCGTGTGCAAGTTCTTCTATTTTTGTAAAGTAATCGCGTTTCTGGTGACCATCCATTGCAGTGCAAGAAGATCATCCAGTAGGAAGAGAGGAATAAGAATAAGGAGTGAATGAGAGAAGGTAATACGAGAGGATACCGCCTGCAGACGCAAACGCCCAAACTACAGGGATTCAAAAGTCCAAAAAATCAAACTCCAAAAGTCGTCGGCCGTATCCAAGCGATAGCTCCGGGGGTTGAATGGAGGACGTAGGCCCGACAAACACTGTTTCCGGAGGTGACAAGGAGCAGCTCGTTCACAATATTGTGCCACAGGATTATATTTTCTGATTTGGGGATAAATTTTGCTCGATTTTGGACAATTTTGCTTGGGTCTTCCGCCACTTCTCGAGGGAATGATGTAGAGAGCTTGCTCCAATAACAATAACCATTTAATTTATTAAGGGCCACCACGGCTGCCCTTTCAATTCATAATAACCTGAAACTATTTAATAAGTTTATCACAACAATTAGGCTATTAGGCAGTGTTTATCACAACAATTAGGTAATGTATACAGACCGTGCGTGGACTACAATTAAAACAACAATTTGAAAATTTTGCACGCTGAAACGTTTTTTTTGTTCGTAAAACTGGTTTAACGACATAAACGATTACTAAAAAAAATAAAGTCCATGTCTTCAATGGGGCGCAAACTTTGCTTTAGAAACTATTTTTTCGATCGCCGAAAAATGACTGAATAAAAAACCACACCAAGCATAAAAATTATAAACATTATAGCGATCATTGCGAAAGGTGCAAGCAAAAAACTTCATGAGCTGCACTCCAGGTTAAAAATTGTTATAATTGGTTTATCCCTAATTTTTGGAACCTCGAGACAATAGTTTCTAATGTCTTAAAATAGTATGACTGTCGCTGGCTAGCAAAAAAAAAGAAGTTTTTCTATCTGAGTTTTTCGAATTTTTAGAAAAAAAGTTGAAGAAAAGTAGACTTTTACTATTAATGCACCCTTTATTCCCACATTTCCGTTAGATCCTCATCCAAAGGACAAACTATCGATCCGATTTTTAAAAGCAACTGACGAAATATTTGTGCTCGCGGTGTTTTTTTTTCTCCAGAAGAAGTTCGACTTTCTTACTAGCAATATTTGACGGAGCGCTTTAAAATCATACAGAAGGTATTGTTTTCTTGAGCTCAAACTTAAGAAATAGTTCACCTGTGGTAATTTTTGTTAAGTTACGATGGTTTAAAAATTGGCTTAAACTCATTACAAAATTTAAGGCAAGTTAAAAAAGGTTATTATTATCAATACACTATTTAGACAAGAAACATATATGGCCTCGTAATTCACTCAGCTTGCGGGGAAGTGTCCAACATCTTTTCATTTTGAAATGATTAGAATATTTTTTAAATCTTGAACCGAGTTAACGACCTATTTATAAAAAAATAAGCCTCGCCTCTTGGTTTCATATGGAACAAGTAAATGGGAAAAAGTTCCGTCAAGTAAGTCTTAACAAATCTTTGCCAGGAAAATTGTAACATCTGATCGATTTTTTTTGGGTCGAGATCGTCACAACATGCAAAAATGTTGCTGAGAGAAACAAAGAATACCAAATTTTAGTCGAGAAAATTGAGCACGCGTGTCTCTGAGCTGTTGCGGAGAGACTGCAATATTCGTTCCATAATTTGCCTTTTTTTCAACTGGTCATCTGTACCATAATCTTTGTAAATTCGATCCGGATTTCTGTAACTTCCTTCCTATGCTTTTTATATACAAAAACGAAAACATCAGGATGTTATAACACAGGTGCGGTTCTAGGATTTTCTGGAGGGGTGGGGGGGGGGGTTGGATTTACAAAAAAAATTCGAAAATTTTGACGACCTTTTTTTTAGGTCGACTAAATTGATTTTTCGAGCTGTCCCAAAGCACTGTGTTTGCCCCTATTTTGGCAAAATTTTCTGCGCCGCAGGAAAATTTCTGCGCCGCAGAAAAACAGTCAAAAAAGCCGTTTTTGGGCACTTTTTGAAAAATTTTGACAAAAAAAAAATCGCGTTTTTTTTGGCGCGCGCTCCCCCTCAAAGTTAGTATATATTGGCGCCCAAGGCGCCTTTAGAAAAAATTTAGGGTCGGTTGGCCAAAAATGGATTTCTGAAAAAGTATCAAAGGGGGGACCCTTTGGGTAGGCAGGGGGTCGAATCCCTGAGGGGGAGGCGTCCGCCCCCATGCCGCCCCCACCCCCCCTAAATCCGCCCCTGTTATTACATAGTTTCTGTCTTAATAGTTACATAGTTTCTGTCATTGCACCGTTATACAGTGCTGATTTAAATTAACCGGACAAAACGAGCTAAGCTTGAAATTTAAAACGCGTTTTTCTCAAAAACGGTTGAATTTAGGTGAAAGCTTATAAAGCCAAAACTTGCTTAAAATTTTAGCGAAATTGATATGGTGTAATTTGTTTTGCGGAATTCGGGCCCAAAATTTTACCCCAAAAATGGGTCATTTTGGTTTTTCATAGTTAATCAGAAATTACGCCAAAAATAACCTGTCTTTCACTGACATAATTATATCAAAGTGAGCCCCTTACGTAGCCCAACAAACTTTAAGAAGGGTATAATCTCCAAAATATTGTGTAAGTTAATTTATTTTTGTTTGATAGACAAAAAAGGTCATTTTTACTATATAAAATACCACTTTTTTATTTAAAAACAATTTTTAAACAATTTGCATTTTTTTGGAGAAAATACTCTTCGTAAAATTTGAATTTGTTGGGCTACGTAAGGGGCTCACTTTGATATTAATATGTCTGTGATCGACAGGTTATTTTTGGCGTAATTTCTGATTAACTAAGAAAAACCAAAATGACCCATTTTTGGGGTAAAAATTTGGGCCCGAATTCCGCAAAACAAATTACACCATATCAAATTTGCTAAAATTTTAAGCAACTTTTGTATTCATAAGTTTCACCTAAACTCAACCCAATTTGAGAAAAACGGGTTTTAAATTTCAAGTTTAACGCGTTTTGTCCGGTTAATTTAATTCAGCACTGTAGTATTTATTCCCTAACAAAAAAGTTATTTCTAACCTTTGGTTTTCTTATCTTTTACGGATGGATTCTGTGGTTTGATATACTTGTTCTGGCCATCACTCAAGCCATATTGATACGTTTCTTGCTTTTCATCATTGAAATAGAAGGCAGGATTTTCGTCATCGTCTTTAGGAGCGGTACATGCGCAATAGAACTTGGCATCTTCTCCTATGTACTTTATTTGATCTCCAGTCATGTTAAGTATTTGATACTCAAATCCATAGACTGTTGCTGTGTTGAGAAGTAGAAATGATGTTAATTCTAAATCAAACAGGACTGCTCGTATCAGGGCGAAGCCCTGAATGTTCCGACTGCCTTTTAAGGTTTATGGAGCAGTAATAACATTAAAAAATTCAATGAAATAAAACAAAATGAAAAAAAAATTTTCTAAAATTTGAAATTTTTTATGAAAATCATCCACCCACCCGCCATATAAAGTAGAAAAGGATAAATTTCGCTCCTTGTAACAAACCATTTATGGCAAATAAGCTTCTTTCAACCAATTTGGAACGATTTCTAAGACGGATTAACTCTCCGCTTACGCGTTAATAGCGCGAAATATATCGCGCGTTAATTGTCCCAAATTGGCTAAAATGGCTATCTTTAAACCCCCGTAACTTTACAAAAAATGACCACAGGTAAAAAATCTTTTCAAATTTGAGCTCAGGACAACAATACCTTTCGAATGATAAAAAAAATTTCGTCAAAAATGGCTAGTTAAAAAGTCGACATTTGTCTGAAGAAAAAAAAAACCCCACCCCGAGCACAAATATTCCGTTACTTTCGTATCGAAAGTCGGAACAACAAGACTGCTCGTATCAGGGCGAAGCACTGAATGTTTCGACTGCCTTTAATGGTTTATGAAGCAGCAGTAATAAAATAAAAAATTAAATGAAATAAAACAAAATGAAAATTTTTTTTTCTAAAATTTGAAATTTTTTATGAAAATCATTCCCCCACACGCCATATAAAGTACAAAAAGATAGATTTCGTTGCGTGTAACAAATCCTATATGGCAAATGAGCTTCATTCAACCAATTTGGAACGATTTATAAGACGGATTAAATCTCCGCTTACGCGTTAATAGCGCGAAATATATCGCGCGTTAATTGTCCCAAATTGGTCAAAATGGCCAAAATGGCGATCTTTAAACCCTCATAACTTTACAAAAAATGATCATAGGTAAAATATCTTTTCAAATTTGAGCTCAGGACAACAATAGCTTTCGACTGATATAAAAAAATTCCGTCAAAAATGGCTAATTAAAAAGTCGAAATTTGTCTGAAGAAAAAAAAACCCCACCCCGAGCACAAATATTCCGTTACTTTCGTATCGAAAGTCGGAACAACAAGACTGCCTGTACCAGGACGAAGTTTTGAATGTTCCGACTGCCGTTCGAGGTCTGTGGAGCAGCAGTAACATAAAAAAATGTAAGAAATAAACTGAAAAAAAAATTTGAAATTTAATTTTTTTTGTATAAATCATCGCCCCACACGCTATTTAAAACACACAGTGATATATTTTGTTCCTAGTAACGAATCAATTATGGAAAACAAGCTTCCTTCAACAAGTTTGGAACCATTTCTAAGACGGATTAAATCTCCGCTTACGCGTTAATAGCGCGAAAAATATCGCGCGTCAATTGTCCCAAATTGGCCAAAATAGCAATCCTTAAACCCCTATAACTTTACTAAAAATGATCACAGGTGAAGTATCTTTTCAATTTTAAGCTAAAAAAACAAAATTTTTTGAATGAGATTTAAAAAACTTTGTCAACAAAAAGCTATTTGAAAAGCTAAAAAGCCGGAATTTGCCTGACGAAAAAAAAACACACGAGCACATCAAATAGTTACTAAAGGCCGACACTTTTTGAACAAACTTCACGGTTTCTGAATTCTTTCAAAAGACATCGACACTATCAAACATTTACAAAGACATAGTAAGAATTAAAACTTTTCTAACATTTTTTTTGCAATTTATACAGCTTTCTTATATTATAATCTTTTGAATAATAGATTGTGTTTGAAAAAATTAAATTGACGGTTATTTGTAAAGCAAAAAGTTTTTTGTTAGAAAGAAACACACCCAGTCGACTGTATCGCCGCTTTTACAAAAACTTGTCAGCAAAAGCGACCATTTGTCGAAGAAGGTGACATAATATTTGCGCTCGGTAGAGCTCTTTAAGAAACCTCGAATTTGAATTTTTACCTCATTTTTTGGCATTTTTTTTCACCCTGGGAAGATGTTGTTGTTTGCAGTTCAGGTAACAAAACACTTTTTAGTGCGATCAATTTTGAAGATCTAATAACTCTGACGTGTAAAAGTTAAAAATTCAAATAGCCAAAAATGTTTTTTGCCCACAGCTAGCAAAACTTATTGTTACCAAACATCAACGCGAAACGTTATAATTTGTACGTGCATGTGATCAATGTCCGCCGTAATTGTTATCAGATATAATATAAATTTTTCGCTCAACAGTCTTCAGTCAGCCATATAGTTGCTTTGCTAGATCTTGCCTTACTCGTAGCAAAGGCAAAACGAGGCCAGTTTTTTGGCTCGCAAAAATTTCAAACTGATTTAAGCCACGATAATCAACCCAACCAGCGCTAGCAATAGATGCAAAATTTATTTTGCTGCAATTCAGGGCGGATGTGTTCAAATTGATTTTTTTTTCGCGTATGGCTAAGTAGTAAACAAATCACGCAGCATAACTCAAGTTAATGTTGAAAATTATCAAAGGCAGATGAAATCTCCGCATATGCTTTAATAGCACGAAATAAAAAGGGCGTTAATTATCCCAAAGTTACCAAAATATGCAGTTTTAAAGCTTTTTAAGAAAAATATATCTACAGAAGTTAGTAAAAAACTTTTGTTGACAATACTTTCATATATCTTTCATTTACTTTATTTTTTCTTTGGTAATGCTTCTCAGCAGATCAGGCGAAGAACAAAAGAGGTTAATTTGAAACATTAAACTCAATAAAACTCATTCTCAATTAAACTCAAAAAAACTCAATAAAATATTCAAATTACTGTAATTTTTCATGCGTATTGTGATAAATGAGTCTGAAAAAAACTGGAGGTTGTGCAAAATCGACTATCATAGTAAAACAAGCAATTTGGACAACAAACTTTTTAGAAAGCTGACTAGAAAAAAAAATGAAGTTTTTGGTTAAAAAATGATGCTAAAGTCTCAAAGAACAAAATTTTATTGATTTAAATTAAAATTTCATAGCTAAAATTTAGCTTCTGTAAGCTATTGAGCTATTAAAATAAGCTATTGCTTCATTCGCTCGTTTAAGATTAAAAATCAAAAGCTCTAAACCCGTTATTCTTGATACTGGGACAACTTTGTGTAAATTTTTCATGCAGTTCGAATTCCGACTGAAAGGGCTTCAAGGTGATATATTACTCAACCCAATCTGATAAATGTTTGTGGCACCTAATTTTGCATTTAAAAAAGTTTTACACACCCGATTACAAACTTTCTCCTCATTTTTAAAAAAGAAATTTAGTCTTACAATCTTTATCTTTTTCTTTTTAAAAAATTCTGAAATGAAAGGTGACCCTTTGATGCAAAAAATTCTCAGTTTTTGAATTTGACTCTGGTTTTTTGTTTTTTTTTTGCGCATATTTTGCAAAAAAAAATCAAAAATTAGTTTCGCCTTAAGATAAAGAAAAAGGATATGTTTCAGTGCTGTCATTGGATATCTTTAGATCGTCAAAGGGCCAAATGTGTTTGTAGGTCCGATCAAAATTTTCGGTAAGGTGTTCGTTATCGGAAACATTTATAGGGTTCTTGCTTCAGTTCTTGCTTCAAAAACTATGCAACCCATTATTTTTTTTTGCTTTAGTTGAAAAGGGTGGATGTTTTTGACCCCACACTATACAAAGGCCTTTTTATTCTACTTTAAGTCATTCATTCAACGTAACTCATATTACGTAACGAATCATAAACGCAGTTTTCTGGTCGAAATTTTTTCCAGAAATTGCATGAAATGGTCATTTTTGCCCTATTGCGTTAACAGAAAGCTTGCGGTTTTTCTCGACCGTTTTTCTTAAATTTTAATTTCCGTTCGAATCACAACTTAAAAAGTCCTAACGTGGTATTTCAAACGACCCGTTCACATGAATATTTGTGGTACCTGATTTTGCGTGGAAAACAAAAAAAAAGAAACAAACTGAAACACAATCGTATACAAGGTTCCTCCACATTTTCAAATAGTTGGAGCGAAAAGTAAATAGGTATAAAAACGCGGTTGGAATTCAGAAAAATGTGAAGTTCAGTGAAACAGCAAAGTAATTCATTTAACTTTGAAGTTATTTTGAACAAATGAAATTAGCTTAAAAAGAGGTTTTTTAAAATGATTACTGTCAATTATAATCAATTAAAATTGATTACAAGTTGTTGGAACAAAAATTGAAGAAAAAATGATTAAAATAGTCAATTGTTTTCAATTAAGATTGATGTTTTAGCTTCAAAAAATTGTACTTTCTCAAATTTTACAGTTTATTTTTTTTAAACTTTAAGTCATTCATTTGTGTAAATTTTTCATGCAGTTCGAATTCCGACTGAAAGGGCTTCAAGGTGATATATTACTCAACCCAATCTGATAAATGTTTGTGGCACCTAATTTTGCATTTAAAAAAGTTTTACACACCCGATTACAAACTTTCTCCTCATTTTTAAAAAAGAAATTTAGTCTTACAATCTTTATCTTTTTCTTTTTAAAAAATTCTGAAATGAAAGGTGACCCTTTGATGCAAAAAATTCTCAGTTTTTGAATTTGACTCTGGTTTTTTGTTTTTTTTTTGCGCATATTTTGCAAAAAAAAATCAAAAATTAGTTTCGCCTTAAGATAAAGAAAAAGGATATGTTTCAGTGCTGTCATTGGATATCTTTAGATCGTCAAAGGGCCAAATGTGTTTGTAGGTCCGATCAAAATTTTCGGTAAGGTGTTCGTTATCGGAAACATTTATAGGGTTCTTGCTTCAGTTCTTGCTTCAAAAACTATGCAACCCATTATTTTTTTTTGCTTTAGTTGAAAAGGGTGGATGTTTTTGACCCCACACTATACAAAGGCCTTTTTATTCTACTTTAAGTCATTCATTCCACGTAACTCATATTACGTAACGAATCATAAACGCAGTTTTCTGGTCGAAATTTTTTCCAGAAATTGCATGAAATGGTCATTTTTGCCCTATTGCGTTAACAGAAAGCTTGCGGTTTTTCTCGACCGTTTTTCTTAAATTTTAATTTCCGTTCGAATCACAACTTAAAAAGTCCTAACGTGGTATTTCAAACGACCCGTTCACATGAATATTTGTGGTACCTGATTTTGCGTGGAAAACAAAAAAAAGAAACAAACTGAAACACAATCGTATACAAGGTTCCTCCACATTTTCAAATAGTTGGAGCGAAAAGTAAATAGGTATAAAAACGCGGTTGGAATTCAGAAAAATGTGAAGTTCAGTGAAACAGCAAAGTAATTCATTTAACTTTGAAGTTATTTTGAACAAATGAAATTAGCTTAAAAAGAGGTTTTTTAAAATGATTACTGTCAATTATAATCAATTAAAATTGATTACAAGTTGTTGGAACAAAAATTGAAGAAAAAATGATTAAAATAGTCAATTGTTTTCAATTAAGATTGATGTTTTAGCTTCAAAAAATTGTACTTTCTCAAATTTTACAGTTTATTTTTTTCAACGCAAAACGGTATTGATTAAATTTTTGATTGCAATCCAGGTGCTTGACCTGCTTTTGAATGACTGCATTTCTTGCTTCAATTGATTGACAGTTTTCTGATCTACGCGGGTAGCAAATTGTAAAATTTTCATCAAAAATTTTGTTTTTCTGATAATTCATTGAAAATGGGGAAAAAATTTGTACTCAGGCAATTTTTAGTTTTTTTTACCACGCAAAATTAGGAAACACAAATAAATATCCAAATGGATTGATGGATGTATCATATTAAACTCTTCAAGTCGTAATTGGAATAATAATTTTTTTCAAAAAAATGGTCCCAGTGTAGGAAAAAATGGCTTAAAAATTTTGATTTATAGTCAAAATTGCAGCATAAAGCGTGCAAACAGGCCCACAATAGCTATCGTAAACCTAATTTTAAACGTGAAAACTTTGTTTTACTCAAATTTTAGAGCGTCATTTGGGAATCAAAACTTCAAAAATTTGAAAAAAACTCAGTTTATCTTACGCGCACCATTTTCAAACAATTTTTTTTCTGTTTCGGTAAGACCACCAGCGGATTTAGGAAGAAGACGACGCCCCCCGCTCGCCCCCACCCCTCAGGGATTCGACCCCCTGCCGACCCAAAGAGTCCCCCCTTTGTACTATTTTCAGATATCTTTTTTTGGTGACGGACCCTGAAATTTTCGTAAGGGCGCCTTTGGCGCCAATATGTATTAATTTTAAAGGGGGAGCGCGCGCATTTTCGGTCAAAATTTTCGGTCAAATTCCGAAAAAACCCTTAATTTGGCCTGTTTTTTTTTTCAAAAATTTTCATGCGGCGCAGAAAATTTGGTCAAAATCCTAGATCCGCCCGTGTGTATGACTATGGTCAAAATACTCTTCGCTACATTTATGAACTTGTTTGACTTATAGTTTAAATTAGATTTTGAAAGATGACGACTGGGCGACTTGTCTTGACTTTTTTATGTGATGCTTTTATCTCATCTTTACTGCTCCGAGCAAGCTGAGCCATTATTGCGATAAAAAAAGTTACGATATGTACTCCACAGAGTAATAGCATCGAACCTACTGGTGTCGGATCTCCAACTCCAATAGAAAATCTCCTTCTAAGTTACCCGAGAACACTGCGTTAGTTTTTTCTTTCTGATCAGAACTGCAGTAATTGGTTGAAAGCAGTTTTGAATCGTTGTATGTCAATTATGTTTTGTTTGTAAATAAAAGTTTGCAGTTTAATAAAGTATATGGAAAAAAGTTTTTAAAACGTAATACATACCGACTAGGCCGATGATTTGTACCATTTTCGCAGAAAACAAAATGTATTTGCGTTAAGAACGGCAAAGAAATTCTGACGTGAAGGCTAGTTATGATAAAACCACACCAAGTTTGTCGTGTAAATCTGAGAAGAGATAAAGAAACGTCGAATTTGGTATGAATGAGTTTAAGTACAGTTTGAACATCAACCAAATTGATAAATAAGCTAGAAGCAGTAGTTAGTCGCTAAATTGATGCTCCAATTGAATCATCCTGAGCAGAAACCTGTGTTCTTATCTCATGGAAAAGACATGTTAGAAATCTACGAAGGACCTTGCCATGATATTTTAAAATCTAGTTCCCTGGTTGAAGGGCTCGACCAAAGGTGCTGCAGAAACCGACGAGCAGCGATCAGTTATCGCCCGACTTTGACTATAGAGTATAGAGTAAACTTAAAAAAAACTAGGAGTTTGGCAATGAGTGAAATTCAAACAATGATTAGTTATTATCTGAACTTATTTTTTTGGTTTCTTTTCATTTTGTTAGATTTGACATCATGCCTCAAAAAGGAGTCTTCAGTACTATCGTTTGACATTGAAGTTGTTTCCGATTCAGTTTGTGATCACGTGATCTGCACAGCGCGCATTTCGTCAAACATGCCAGTGATGACCAGTCGTTTCTCGACATCGTCAAATTTGGCCAGGATGGAAGCCGCATCTACTACCTCGGGCGCCACTACTCGCCTGAAACAAGCGAACTATTTTGTTCGTGAACAATTTCGTTTTTAATCCACTTAATAATAAAATAGCTGCTCTCAATTGCAGTATTCTTATTAAAATGAGAAGTTTGGATTAGGTTTTTGGAGGGCACGATCTGTGGTATCCCCTAACCTAATTGCTTTCAAGTCAAAACTTTAGTTGTTATTATTTTTTTTTTTCATTTTTGAAGGATCGATAATAAAATTATATTGTTTCCTCTCTAATTTGAAGGTTTTTTCAGTTTTTATGAAGTCAATTCTCCAAAAAAATTGCTCAGTTTCAGCTCTTTTATGTGGTCTGCCAAATACTAAGACATAAATGTTCAGGACGCCTGACTGAAGTTTGCAAGCTCGTTACAAGTTTTGAACAGCAAATTATTTTTTAATTTTTCTTTTTATCAATTCATACGGGACGCAACCTAAATACGTGTTTTGCCTTCGTTCATTGACGTATAAGCAAATAAATCAGGTTGCTTTGCCAGAAATATAGAGGTCTCCTAGCACAATTATTTCAACTTTTTAGTTATTTAGAATTTTAAGTTCTTTCTTTAAGGGAAGAAGCAGTGTAAATATGCGGCTGATCTTTGCGTACCGCAAAACGGTTTCACTTCGGATTAAAGTTCAAATTTCAAAGGTAAGAAAAATAGTTTTGATTTGGAGCAAGGGAACGAATATTTGGTTAAAAAAAGGCGACGACGAATTCTCGATAAATCAGAAATATGCAGTTCAAAAAAACTGGCGCTAAAAAGCATTTTTGTTATGAGTGAATTAAAAAAACGACAAATCCAAAGGGAACTTTGGAGGGAACTTTGGTTTACAGCGTGTTACTACGCTAAGTTAGGAAGCTCTACTACCCGTCAGATACATTCGGTTCGTTGCGGATATTGATATTCTTTAACGGTGTTTTGACTTCTAGAAAAAAATAAATTTGCTGAGCGGAAAAGAACGGGTTCGAAATTTTGGTTTTCATAGCTGGCGCGTAAATCATTAAAAACTAATAAGCAAAAAAATAGCCGGTTTCTGTAAAAGAAGCACAGACAGAATGTTCGGAAAAACGTTTTTTAAAAGCAGCATATTCAACAGAAGTTTGAAAAAGTGTTTGAGAACAGAACGAAAAAAAAACTATTTAAAAATTGTAAAACACTTTTCAGTTTTATGATCGAGTTGTTTTTGATAAGATTCACTCAGCGTAGAGAAAATTAGATAAGTTATTTTTTTTTAATCCGCTGAGAAAATTATAAATTAAAATACCTTTTCTCAAAAGTGTATTCTTGCACCATTTCCGAAGTTTGTTTTTTTCGCGTCATTTTAGCTTTTATACCTAGAGAACGTAATTTTGTCTCTTTCAAATGAACTTGAATTAGATTTAAACAAGATTGCTCGTACACCAGGGCAAAGCACATAATGTTCCCGCACTGGAGTTCCTGATAATAATCGATTGTAATGTCATTTTGTAGTCAGTATCTAAGAAATTACACAAAAAAGAACTGATTATAATCCATCAAAAACGGATTATAATCCTGATATTTTTTATATCAATATAATCCATTATAGTCAATTAAATTCCATTAAAAATGGACTATAATCATAATATTTTTTAATCATAATAATCCATTATAACAGATTATAATAGATTATAATCGATTATAGTGTATTTTTTGAAGGGAAAATATTAATTTTGCAAAATTTATTCAAAACTATCTGATTTTGTTTTCGTGCAGTTGCTACGTATAACGTTTCAAAAGTTTTTACTTTCCACAAAATTTTGTTTATTTAAGTTTTCTCTACTTTTTCTATACTACCTAAACTCCAGCGACTTCTTTAACAACCCCCTTCCCCAGTTTACCACCCCCCCCCCCCCCCCAACAGTTTACCCTTCGTCAGTTTACCTCCCCCTTCCCCTTCCCCCACCCAGTTTACCCCTCCTCAGCTTACCCTCCCTCTATCTAAGTTCAACCCCCCCCCCCCCTGATTACTGAACATGGGCGGGGTAAAAAAAACCGGGGGGGGGGGGGTCGTGGAAAAAAACTTGGTTGTTGTTCATGCTGAGTAACCCCTCACCCGTCCCCGTTCAATGGTAAGGAAACTGGGTGGGGGCGTAAACTATAACTTGGGGGGGGGGGGGGGTTAGGTTTGCGGGTAAACATGGGGGTGGGCGTAGGGATAAACGTAGGGGTGCGGATGGGGGTGACAAAGTGAGGGGGATTAAGTTGAGTAGGTCTAAATTGCGAGTAGACCATGAGTAACGCAGAAATGTTGCAAGTTTTGCAAATGGTTTTGCATAAAAAATGTAAAGATTATAATCCGTTATAATCAACTGTAATGGATTTTAAATCGATTATAATGCATTGTAATGCATTTTATTGGATTGTGTTTTTACGAAAATAATCGATTATAATGACAATATCCGACTGCATCCTAATCCTTATCGAATATTCTTTGGGAAAACAAATTGAAAACCTATAAATTTTGGACAAAATCAAAGATCAAACTTGAGTCGCATGAAATTAATACGACAAATTAGCTAGCCTCAATTCAATTTGGAACGACTTTGCTATGCTCTCAGCATTATGAATAAATCTACAAAGTGCGCATAATTTAAACTCCCAGAACTCATCCATTCAAATCTTGACTGGAAGGGTTTTTATGGAGAAAATTTTAGAGCTTGGAACCGAAAATGGATGTCAAAAAATAGAAAATGGTTGGTCAGGGAGTCAAATCCCTGAGAGGGGAGGCATAAAAGTTTACTCAAGAGGGGGCATTGAGAGGGGGGGGTATTTTGAAATTAATCTGATTCCTAGAGTATTCATAGAGGTTTTAGTGTGACAAAAAGTTTAGCTCTTTGTGATCATTCTTGAGTTCGCTAAATTTACGAGACAAACTTCCCTGACACCATATCATAATTCCTTCCCGCTTCTGGGCGCAAAAGCATGGACAGTAGACGGCTGAAAATGAGCAATAATGAGAACAAGATTTCCTGAAATATGTTTCATTGAGGCAAAAACGTACCATTCTCTCGTGACTTTACTTCTGCCAGTCTTAACATTCTCAGTGACCTTCTCCGCAATCACGTGCAAAGTGTGACCTTGTCTGACCGCTCTCAGATGCCTTTTTTGGAAGTTGTCTCCTGTTTGCACATTTGCCTGCCAGTCTGGAACTGGATGGCCCCCGTTGAACTCTTCTGCTTTGTCAGTCACTGACGGCGGAGGAGAGGGAGTGTTTGGTATTTCACGCAGCTCTTCTTTAATAGGCTCTTCACTTTGTTTACGTTGTTGTTGTTCTTTGTCTTGCTTCTGCTTTTTCATGGAAAGCTTTCGGATCCTCTCTCTATTTGGAAACTCCTCGGATACTAAAAAAGTATAAGAAAAAATAGAATTTGGCAATAAATCTGATAGTCAATCAAAGCCGATGAATATCAGTAAAACTTCAAAATCATATATTATGCAGCTGAAGCAAGGAGATACTGCGGCAGATATTGCATCTTGTTTTTTTGCCCAAGTTCAAATTACATCAACCTAAGCCCACCCGTAAAGAATTTTTGTACCAAGTTCAACCTTAATAATTGTTCAAGCTTTTAACTTTTGCTGGTCTTTTTTTGGTGAGGCGACAATTCGTAACAAGCGACAATTTGCAACAAGCGACAATTCGTAACAGTAGAATAAGCGGGGAACACTGATTCCTGACTTTAATCGCTGTTTTAAACAAAAACTTCTTACTTTCCAGCTGCGGATTGTCCACTTTGAACAATGTGTGTTCCGGCCCATGTTTCTTCAACTCATCCTCACTCTGTGACTTTGCAGAGTCCAAATTCGTAGCTGGTTTGTTCTCAGAGCCACTGAGCTTTACACCCGCAGTTTGCTGCACGAAATCTCTTTGTTTCGTTTCAGCCGGTTTCCCAGCATCCCTCGGCGAGTTTGACCCCCTCTCTTGTCTCGGCGAATAGTTAGATTGGTTCACATTTCTGGTAACATTAGCACGTTCAAAATGAGTTTCATCATAAAATCTTTGATCTTTTTGTTTAGAATAGCTTTGTTCAAACCCATTTCCAGAAGAAGCTGTAAATTGACTCCTTGGGGAACTTCGTTGCTGTTGTTGTTGTTGTTGGAACTCATAGAAAAGTCTGGAAGGGGAAGACCGGTCCTCCTGGTTGGATCCTCTTCTGGTCTCTCTGCTCGATGACGTCATAAACTGCTGATGCAGCGGGGATCTCGGAAACTGGCTGTGGTACCCTGTGAATCCAGGCATCTCTGGAAAATCTAAAATGTTAAATAAAAATAATATAAATTTCATCTATGGTAGAAACTCGACATCGAAAAACCCAACTAAACTATTTTTCTTACAGCGAAACCCGGTACTAAAGAGGAATATCAGTTACTTTGTATCTGAAATCCTCTCAAGCAGGATATGAATGAATGCTTTGAAGACCAAAGATCTCTCCTCTTATTTGCCAATTCTTGAAATTGTACTGATTATTGCACTTACGTTTCTTATTCCTTTCTGTTTCAACTATTTTTGCCTTGGTTTAGTAAAAGGTTGGTTGGCATTAATAGAGATTGTGATTAGCTTACTGTCAATGTTAACCGTATTGTTTTCCCTAAAAAAAGTGACATTGATGCATTGCAGCCGTATGTATCATTTGTACCTGGAACCAATCTGGCATTGATGTGCCTGGAAGCGAAGTCGGAGAAGTCCATGGCCGAATGGAATGGAGGCTGGCTATGGAAATCGTGTCTAAAATCGAAAACCATAAGACCACTCTATTCTGCTCATCAAAAAAGTTAGATTAAATAAATGCACTACATAACTTTTTCATCGTCACTCGAGACTTATTTTAAGAAAAGCGAGGTCCGAATTAAAAACCAAGTTTGAACAATGAACAAATGTTTCTTATTTTTAGCTTTTATAGGTGAAAAAATTCAGATCGGGGTTTGTGTCAGAAAGGTTTGAAGCTTCCACTTACATTTCAGACGGTCAAATAAATTCAAAAGAGTTTGAAGGTGCGATAAAAATTGTGTTCCTTCTCTCCAATTTTAAATAGTCTCGCCAGCAGTTTTATCTTCTAACATCCGATAACTGTGCTAAAAAGCCCGAAGAGGAGACCACAAAATATCCGCCGGTTTTCTCTAACAACGTTGGTTAGATTATACTATGGCTAGAATATCACTAAGACAAAATTGGGCTAATGTAAACAAGAAAGGAACGAGGGTCTGGGTAAAAGAATAAGACAGTTTGAATATATAAAATTGTACCATTTACCCGCAAGGGAATAAATTAGACTGTCTATATGCAAATGTGTTACGGCTATTCCTATCTTGCCCCACACTTACTTGAACCCAAAGTTGAGCGCTTTTGATTTTTGCACGAAATAACTCAACTTGATCAAGCTAGCTTCTATATTTTGAAATCAGGAACTCTACCACTCAGAATTTAAAGGAAACCCCTGTGGTTCCCTTTCACGCTACCAAGCGTTGGCTCTTTTGTCGGTGGTAGATGTGGGTCGTTTTCTTGAATAAACCCCAAAAACTTAATCAGCTTTGAATTTTTTCTATCTTAATTAGGTGCTCATAATAGAATTTTTGGTGAAAGATACGATCACATTAAGTTTATAATTACTAAATTTTCTCATTTTGCAGATTTTTGCTCATGTTTTTTGAGAATGAGACTTGAGCTAGATTTGAGCTAGAGTTTTTGAGCCAGAGCTTTGACTAAAAAGAGCCTGAGTAATCCGACTTCCCCTTCACTAATCGTTATTGTTCCGACTTTCGTACCGAAAATAACGAAATATTTGTGCTCGGGGTGGGTTTTTTCTTCAGAAAAATTTCGACTTTTTAACTTACTATTTTTGACGAAATTTTTTTTATATCATTCAAAAGGTGTTGTTGTCCTGGGCTTAAACTTGAAAAAACATTTCACCTGTGATTATTTTTCGTACATTTATGGGGTTTTAAAGATTGCAATTCCGGCCAATTTTGGACAATTAACGAGAGATAATTTTTGCGCTATTAACGCGTAAGCGGAAGTTTAATCCGTCTAGTAAATCGTTCCAAATTGGTTGAAGGAAGCATATTTGCCTTATTGTTCCGACTTTCGGTACGAAAGTAACGGAATATTTGTGCTCGGGGTGGGTTTTTTTTTCTTCAGACAAATTTCGACTTTTTAACTAGCCATTTTTGACGGAATTTTTTTATATTATTCGAAAGGTATTGTTGTCCTGAGCTCAAATTTGAAAAGATATTTCACCTGTGATCATTTTTTGTAAGGTTACGGGGGTTTAAAGATTGCCATTTTGGCCAATTTGGGACAATTAACGCGCGATATATTTCGCGCTATTAACGCGTAAGCGGAGAGGTAATCCGTCTTAGAAATCGTTCCAAATTGGTTGAAAGAACTATTTGTTTTCATAAGAAATTTTAGAAAAAATTTTTTCATTTTTTTTAAATTTTCATTTAATTTTTTAATTTTATTACTGCTCCATAAACCTTAAAAGGCAGTCGGAACATTCAGGGCTTCGCCCTGATACGAGCAGTCTTGTTTGTTTCTAGGAGCAAATTTTATCACTTTGTACTATATGTGGCGTGTGGGTTGATGATTTTAAAAAAAAATCTCAAATGTTTTTTTTTCATTTTTTTTACTACATTTAAATTTTTCATGATATTCAGGGCTTTATCCTGATACGAGCAGTCTTGTTAAATTTTGGTTTAAAAAACAGTTTTGATACTGCCAATATCAGTTCCTAATATCTGAAACTTGAGAGTTATACGGAATTAATATGACTAGTTTAGTTCACCTCATTCAATTTGTAAAGATACTAAGTGCGAGATAGTTTGCCGTGCATAAAAAGCTTAAATATTAAAGCTATTATGTTTCATGCGAGGATCAGCTCCGTGCAAGCAAAACAATGCTGGCGGACAAATTTTCTGGGATGAAATCCCCCAGGACAATATCCCCCAGTACTAAAGCAGAAAATTAAACAAGACTGCTCGTATCAAGACAAAGCCCTGAAGGCTCCGACTGCCCCAAGTACTCTCGAATAGTTTTTGGTATGGTAAATTGGCAAAACTGAAAGTTTTAGGCAAATAATATCAAACAAGGCTTCTCGTATATCAGGGCAAATGTTTTTTGGTTGATTTGACAAAAAAATTCAGAAAAAGAAGAAGATTTTTTCCTTGTTTCTTCTTTTTCAATTTCAATTTGTAAAACATAAACTTGCTTTTTACGCATGTTATAAGTACGCTATATATCGCACTTTAATTATCCCAAACTGACCAATTTAGCTACATTCAAACGCCCGTAACTTTACAAAAATTGATCACAGGTCAAATAACTTTTTTAAATTTGAGCTGGGAATAACAATATCTCTCAGATGCTGTAAAAAAATCCGTCAATAACGCTTAGTTAACAAGTCGAAAAATGACTGATTAAAAAACCCACCACGCATAAATACTAGGGGCCCAGCTGAAAGCTGGAGAGACATGTTTGATTATTTTAATATTGATTATTTTAAAATTGTTTTAAAATTTCAGGTTTCTCAAGTCGATAGCGCCCTTCCTACGCAAAAAAGTGAAAGAGAAGCTTATGCATTCATTGGTAACGTTTTCGGAACCATACAATTTTTTAAGTTCCCTATTTAGAAGGACTGCCCGCGCCCGATAGACGTCGTTCTGGCGGGGGATGAGAGATCATACAAAAAATCGTCCTCCCCGTTGTTCTAATACACCTTTGAGGACTAGAATTGAAGTATATAAATGATTAAAGTGAGAGGTACAGATTTTTAATGATACCTCTGAATTGATCTATGAGCGCATCAGGTGACATTTTAAGTGATTTATGACCTCCCATTAAACGGGCCTTTCACAGTGCGACAAGGCATACCGTATCAATCATGGTTACATGCTAAATATATTTAAAATAAAATCATATGCACAATGCTTCAACAATGTGAATAATTATTCACTAGAAATAAGTGAAATGTGTGTTTCACAAACCAGCTAACATTAATGAAATAAAGTATTTTTCATTTTTCTAACGACTCTTTAATTTTCGAATTAATTAAATTTTGTCCAAGCATTGCAAATATGACTATAATATGTTGACTATAACTGACATCACAAAAACGTTCTGGAACAAACCGACCTGATTAAAAAGAACTAGCGTAACTCGTGCAACTTCTCGTTGGACTTCTTCGAGCTATACAACAAAACTCACCACAAAGCCAATAGCACCAAGCAAAAGCGAGAAAACGTAAGCATAGCGGATTCCATTGTCTAAAAAATACACACAATAAGTATATTGAATCTTTGTTCCAATGCCAAAAAAATTTTAAAAAAACTTTTCCTAAGTGTACAGCTCTTCCCCGAGACAAATTAAGGACCAGCCGCTTGGGCAGGGGAGTTTCCTACAATCTGGTCTATCGATTAAACCCTTAATCCCAAATCTGGATGGGTAGTTTTTGAGGAAATCGATAATTTCCGAAAAAAAAGGCCAAAAAAGTCAAAAAAGTGACTTTTCCTAAGTCTATAGCTCTTCCCCTAGGCAAGTTAAGGACCAGCCGCTTGTGCGGGGGAGTTTCCTACAACCTGGTCTATCGATTAAACCCTTAATTCTAAATCTGGATGGGTAGTTTTTGATGAAATCGATAATTTTCGAAAAAAATAGGCCAAAAAATGAAAAAAGTGACTTTTCCTAAGTCTATAGCTCTTCCCCTAAGCAAATTAGGGACCAGCTGCTTGGGCAGGGGAGTTTCCTACAACCTGGTCTATCGATTAAACCCTTAATCCCAAATCTGGATGGGTAGTTTTTGAAGAAATCGAAAAAGTTTGAAAAAATGGCCTAAAAACCAAAAAATTGACTATTCCTAAGTGTATAGCTCTTCCCTAGACAAATTAGGGACGAGCCGTTTGTGTAAGGGGGGTTCCTACAACCTGGTTTATCGATTAAACCCTTAATCCCAAATCTGGACGGGTAGTTTTTGAGGAAATCGGAAAGATTGGAAAAAAGGCCAAAAAAGTCGAAAAAGTGACTTTTCCTAAGTCTATAGCTCTTTTACCTAGGCAAGTTAAGGAACAGCCGCTTGTGCGGGGGAGTTTCCTACAACCTGATCTATCGATTAAACCCTTAATTCCAAATCTGGATGGGTAGTTTTTGAGGAAATCGATAATTTCCAAAAAAAATAGGCAAAAAAATCAAAAAAGTGACTTTTCCTAAGTCTATAGCTCTTCCCCTAAGCAAATTAGGGACCAGCCGCTTGTGCATGGGAGTTTCCTACAACCTGGTCTATCGATTAAACCCTTAATCCCAAATCTGGACGGGTAGTTTTTGAGGAAATTGAAAATTTCCGAAAAAAATGGGCAAAAAGTGAAAAAAGTACCGAGTTGTGAAAATTTTCTAAGACCGTAGGGGGTGGGGTAGGGTAAAAATTGCCCTAAATTTTATGCAGGCAGGTAGGTGAAACGCTATTGAATCCATTGGTACCACTTTTATGAGAATCTGACGGGTAGTTTTTTGGGAAAGCGAATTTTTCGAAAAAGCGTCTCAAAAAAAAAAAAAAAAAAAAAAAAAACCAGATCTCATCTGGAAAAAAAAACGTTTTCATAATACCTGTTTAATAAATCAAACAGGAATTTCTCAATTTCTTCGAGAGTCGGAACAATTAAGAGTGAAAATTTCAGTCGTGTATGGAATTAATACGATCAACAAGATTATTGCCTCAATTCAATTTCGAAAGATTTTGTTGCGCGGGGTGTTTCGCCACGTGTTCAATATAAAACGAGTAGTTTAGACTGACTCGTGCATACTGAGCTATGCCTACGCAGATCAAAGGATCGCGCACCTTAAGGAGTGAAGAGTTTTGTGAAATTGGTCTGAAAAAAAAACCATCCTGAGCACATATATTCCTCACTTTCTTCAAAAGAAAGTCGAAAAAACAAGACTGCTCGTACCAAGGCGACGCCCTGAAAAACTTTAATGCCCGTTAACGCCTATGCAGCGTTAGATTAAAAAAAGGAAAAACAAGAGAAAAACAATTTGTTCGAGGATAAAATACCAACACGCTAGCTTAAGTACAAAGCGATATGATTAGAATGCGGTATCGCATCATTTAGATCAACTATCATGAGTCTATTTAGTTTTGAACGATTTCTCAGCCGAATGGTTTTGCCGATCACGCCTTAAGTGCACAACAGCTCTTTCAAAAAATGAAGTTTATTTATAATGCGCGAAAAATCTGAAGTCAACTTGAACAAAAAGCTGTTAGCGCAAATGTAAGTTTGCGATAATCTAGCAGTGATTTTTTTTGAATTTGATACATTTTCTGCTATCTGGAAACGAAAGTTTTTCGGCTCTCCGATAATTGACTTTAGCACGACACACGCTTCACGAAAACACTAAGCCCAAAAAAGCGCCAAAATTAAAGTGAGAGACAATGAAGTGGCTTTACTATCCACCTCAGCCAGTTCTTGGTGCTTGGAAGCCACCAACACGCTCGTCACTTGAAGATAGCTAAGGCAACAAAATCCGCCCAGAAAAATAACAAAATATATAGTTCACTGGCCTAAAACTTGTTCAAATAGCTTGCTGTACGTATTTTTAATTGGCGCAAAAATGCTGCCAAAAATTCCTAAAATTGCGCGAGAAGTTTTTGAAACACATACGCGTTATTCTCGAAGAATGAGTTGAACTCTTTTTGGAACGACTCAGGAGTGCGGGGCCTGCCGCTGCTGTCGCCTTTGGGGGGTACATTCAAGGTCACACGGGTTGTAGTCGTCCGGTGTCTGGGACTGTTCGGGTTATTCGCATTTCCATCCGGGTGATCGCCTTTATCCTCCATTCTTACAAAGTTGGTAGGCTTGTTCACAGAGACTATAAATTCACCAAAGTGAACAAAAAGTATGTAATAAAAGATAGCTATCTGTTGTAAAATAAATCCATCCTAGTTTAAAAGTGTGCCAGGAGCTGCTGCGCATTCAAAATGGTATTTTTCATCGCATTCATTGCACAGCGTGTTGTTCAGTGAACTGTTAGAAAATGGTGTCTATCGTAAAAATAACATGTAAAAATAACATGCAAGGAATGCAGTCTCAACTAAATTCCATTTTTCTGTTCACCAAAGGTTTATAAAAATTTAACAAAAAAAGAAAAATTGGAATATACAAGTGCAATTTTAATCTTACCTGGATCGAAATTGTAGAATTGCGATATTAGTTATCAATATTTAATTTATAGATTTTGAATAATTGGTAAATAATTATTTTTTTAATCTCTAAAAAGTATTGATGTGTTTGTTTTACGCGTTTATCTTCGATCTGATTCAGCAAACAATTCGCTCCAAAACTCAAACACGTACTGATGAAACATGAAACGTTAAAACAAAACCGACGCTTTGGTACGAATTTTCTTCAAGCATGGTAAAAATTGATTCAAGCATGCCATGTAAAACTCGGCTTAAGTGCTGTAAGTTCTAAGCCCCTCAATTCAATTAGCGTTTTATAACGACAGATTTATGTTTAAGGTGAAACTACTGAAACATAAATCATAAATATCTGAAAACTTACCTTGCTTTGTGAAAACTTCTCAGTAATATAAACACCTGCACGGTATGGAGGTTAAAAGAATTTGACGTTTGTTTAACTGAGTTTCAGTAGAGGCACCAATTGCCGTTACTGGTGCATATCATTCATTCATTCTTATCGGTTTCGTTTCGACATGTAAACACAGACTTGTCAGATAAAATTGAAGACTTTGCATTCTATTTTGGACGGAATTGTTTTTGTTTGATAGGAATGAAGTCATGCTGTGCTTCGTGGTTCCTTGGAAATCAAGGCATGGTATTCAATTTCAATGCAACTTTGATTCAAAGAAATTGGCTGGAAAATTTAATAAAACTGTCAAACAAAGAAAGTGAAAACATCAACTAATTTTGAAGTGAGAACGAGAACTGTCAACTCAGTAATCAATGTCAACCCAATTTGTTTTCTCTTCTGGTGTTCTAAAAAATAAACTTATGGTCAGAATAACAAGTCATTTATGTGTTTTTTTTATTGCCTGCTTCCACGTGAACCTCATTAACCCTATAATTTCGAGCCTTAAAGTTTCAATTAAACTTTTGAATTTTTCTCTTAGTCCTGGGTAGCCCTGGGTCCCTCTCTTGGTCAGTCCTTCTACCGAAGGCGCAATCCAAGCAGGCGCGGATCTAGGAATTTCTCGAGGGTGCGGATTTTCAAAAGTATTTTCAAAAATTTTGTCGACCTTTTTTTAGGTCGATCAAATTGATTGTCTGAGCTCTCCCAATCCACTATAATGACCCTAATTTGACCAAATTTTCTGCGCCGCATGCAAAATTTTTAGGCACTTTTTTTAGGCATTTTAGGCACTTTTTGGAACTGCCTAAAAAGGCGTTTTTAGGCACTTTTTGGAAAATTTCGTTAGAGGCGTTTTTTTCGGCGCGCGCTCCTCCCTCAAAATAAGAATAGATTGGCGCCTAAGGCTCCTTTAGAATTTTTAAGGTCAGTCTGCCGAAAATGGATATCTCAAAATAGTAAAAAGGGGGACCCTTTGTGTCGGCAGGGGTCGAATCCGTAAGAGGGAGGGGGCGTCCCCCCATTAATCCGCTACTGCAGATATCATCAGATCAGTTAGCAATCCGCTACTGAATCCAAGGGAGGGTGCAATTCTAGCGAGTTCTGCTTTGGCGCCGTTGAGGAACTAAGAAATCAGCAAGTAGACTAAGAGTTAGGAAAGAAAAGGCAAAGAAGAGCGATTATAAACAACTATACCCGGTTGTTGTGCAATTAACACAAAAAGTTCCGGTCACATTCGTAAAATATCGATTGATTTTCTTCAAATTAGTTCGTTTTTGTGCTAGGTTTGAGGAGAAAACTATTTAAATAAATGAAAGTTTGTAAATTGGGCATAACCGACAACATTCATTAACAAAATGAGTGACAAGAAAAACAAGACTGCTAGTATCAAGGCGAAGCCCTGAATGTTCCGACTGCCTTTTAAGGTTTATAGAGCAGTAATAACATAAAAAAATTAAGTGAAATAAAAAAAAATGAAATTTTTTTTTCTAAAATTTGAAATTTTTTATGAAAATCATCCCCCCACGCCATATAAAGTACAAAAGGATAGATTTCGTTCCTTGTAACAAATCAATTATGGCAAATAAGCTACGTTCAACCAATTTGGAACGATTTCTAAGACGGAGTAAATCTCCGCTTACGCGTTAATAGCTCGAAGTATATCGCGCGTTAATTGTCCCAAATTGGTCAAATTGGCCAAAATGGCAATCTTTAAACCCCCATAACTTTACCAATAATGATCACAGGTAAAATATCTTTTCAAATTTAAGCTCAGTACAACAATAGCTTTTGAAAGTTATAAAAAAATCCTAGTTAAAAATGGCTAGTTAAAAATGGTGACTAAGTGATAAATTTTGCTCCTATTAACAAATCAATTATGGCATATAAGCTTTCTTGAACCAATTTGGAACGATTGCTCAGACGGAATAAATCTCGCTTACGCGTTAATAGCGCGAAATATATCGCGCGTAAATTGTCCCAAATTGGCCAAAATGGCCGTCTTTAAACCCCCATAATTTTACGAAAAATGATCACAAGTGAAAAATCTTTCAAATTCAAGCTCAAGACAACAATACCTTTCGAATGATATAAAAAAATTCCGTCAAAAATGGCTAGTTAAAAAGTCGAAATTTGTCTGAAGAAAAAAAAAACCCACCCGAGCACAAATATTCCTTTACTTTCGTATCGAAAGTCAGAACAATAAGAAACCGTTTTTCAAACAGTAAAAAAGTTTGTTCTTATTGTTCCGACTTTCAATACGAAAGTAACGGAATATTTGTGCTCGGGGTGGGTTTTTTTTTCTTCAGACAAATTTCGACTTTTTAACTAGCCATTTTTGACGGAATTTTTTTATATCATTCGAAAGGTATTGTTGTCTTGAGCTTGAATTTGAAAGATTTTTCACTTGTGATCATTTTTCGTAAAATTATGGGGGTTTAAAGACGGCCATTTTGGCCAATTTGGGACAATTTACGCGCGATATATTTCGCGCTATTAACGCGTAAGCGAGATTTATTCCGTCTGAGCAATCGTTCCAAATTGGTTCAAGAAAGCTTATATGCCATAATTGATTTGTTAATAGGAGCAAAATTTATCACTTAGTATTTATTATGACGTGTGGGGGATGATTTTTTAAAAAAAGTTTCGAATTTTAGAAAAAAAAAATCATTTTACTTTATTACAGATTTTATTTTTGTATGTTATTACTGCTCCATCAAACTTAAAATGCAGTCGGAACATTCAGGGCTTCGCCCTGATCCGAACAGTCTTCTTAGTTTTGCACAATACTTTTTTTCGGAAAAATGTTATTGACAAGGAAACGGTACGCGAATCTTCCAAAACTATTAAATTGCAGTTTGTGTAAATTTCCTCTGAAAATTTTTTTGAAATCAAAAAAGTTGGAACCGTTTTTCCCACCTCAAATTAGTTACAGAATGTGAGTCCGCTGTGAGAAATAATGGAATCAAGTTGTCTGATCAAAGCTCCCTATGACATCAATTGCATCCTCCTTATTGGTATAACTACTGTGCCGCATTATCTTTAAATGTTAGTTCAAATCCACCCAAGATTCTTCCAGTCATCCAGTCATTCGTAGTTTCCTCAGCGTTTTCTTTGTCAACTTGGGTTTATCTGCTCATCGTCCTCCTTAATTTTCGTCGCACATCTACAAAGACTTATTTGTCTATGACTTTGGGTTCCAGTCTTAATGCTCGTTTGTCGTATGAATCTGATCCTACCCTGGATTCTACTGTCTCTAAAAGATTTTGACTGAGTAGCATCACCCAAAATCCATCAGTAGACGGATGACAAGCTGTCAAATTGCACGAAACAAAAGATTGCTTACTTTTTCCTAAGACCTGTATCGCACATTGCAATACAACAAAAAAGCTTATTCTTATTCACGATGAAAGACTCCCTTGCGACAATTCGTCGCAAGTTACCATTCGGAGCATTTGTAAAAAGCGACTATTCGCAGCACGCGACGACTCGTAGCAAGGGAAAATTCGTAGCGTTAAAGATTTGATCAGATCAAAAGTAATTAGATGAAAGTTATAAATTAAAGAACAAAAAAACTTACAAAATTGCTCGTATCAGGGCTAAGCTCTGAATGTTCCAACTGCCTTTTCAGTTGGAAAATAAAAATAAATGTAATAACGAGAAATGAAATAAAACGAAAAAATTATTATTTTTTTAAAGATAAAGAGACTTTTTGTAAAAATCATCCCCTCTTACTCCATATAAAATACAAAGTGACAGATTTCGCTCATAGTAACAAACCCATTATAATGAATAAGCTTCCTTCTATAAATTTAAAACGATTTTTAAGACGGATTAAATCTTCGCTTACGCGTTAATAGCGCGAAATATAGATGAAATTAATAGCGCGAAATTGACCAAACTGGCTATCTTTAAACGCTCATAACTTTACAAAAAAAATCACAGATAAAATAATTTTCAAATTCAAGCTTAAGGCAGTAATAATTTTTGAATGATATTAAAAAATTCCATCGAAAAAATTCAGTGGAAAAATCGAAAATTGTCTGATGAAAAAACCCTACCGAGCACAAATATTCCGTTACTTTCGTTACAAAAATCAGATTAAAAATCAAAATTAAACGAGAGGCCCTGAAATTGTTTGCGATTATGATTTTTTAAATAATTTTCAAGTAATTCAACTAACCGGGCTTGATTTTTTTTCGTTGTTTGCCACCTTGGAATCACTTTCTCCGGCAGTTATTCTCACCAATTTGTTCTCTGACTTTGTTTTTTCTTAGGAATTGAATAGTTTGTGAATGGTAGGGTGAGCACACCCAAAACCCATCTGGAAGGCCCTATGCCATCCCTCGACCGAATTGTTGGTTTGTGTCTTCCATTTTTGGCGTTTTCGAACTGATTCTAGAGTGAGATAGGGAATTGCCCAAACACCTGCGTCCTCGGAGGATGGTTCCAACCAAGTTGATTCAAAATAATCCACGTAATCCAGTAAGGGAGACTCATAACTTTTGCATTTTAAAAAGCTGCGAATCGTCGCTTGCGACGAATAGTCGCCTCACGTCAAGTTATAACTTGTCTTACAAGTCGTATCATCTTTGTTGTATCACAACATCCGTGGACGGAGTCCATTGGTGTTTTTGTGCTCGCCAGGAATTTGCGTTTTCTTGTTCTACGTTATTTTGGACAATTTGTTTTTGTAAGAGCTTCAGACACCCGCTTCTCGAGCTCCAGCAAAAATTGAGTGCGCTGTACTTATTTAATCAATTGATCGGCTGTTGGTAGCTCTTGTCTCTGAACTCCAGAACAGCAAAAACCAATCAATTGTCAAAGAAAAAGCCTTGGAGCGGATGCCACACTAATTGTTTGTGAGCCTTGCCAAAGAATCCTGACCAAAGCGCAAAGTTCCTTTGAATTTTGGTTTAAAACT